CCTGGAAGAAAAAGAAAAGAAGAAATGGGGTCAAATTGAAAATTTTAAAATATATAAAATTCGAATTTGGCCCTAATGACCGGAAGTTAACCTAGAAACGGGCTAATGGCTCATTAGTGAAAGGATTGTGTAAGTTCAGGGATTTTTGTGAAAGGATTTGAAGTTCAGGTACCACTTCGAAATTCCAGCTAAAGTTCAGGTACCATTGGTGAAATTTACCCTGATTCGTTGTCCCAAATACCTAACGTTAGCGTTAATTCGTATATTAGCATCTTGTTTGTAATAATCTTGCGATTGATTGTGAATTTGTGTGATTGGATTGTTAAAATGGATTGTGGGTTGAATAGGGGAAAGTTTTCTGGCCGGACTCCGGCGAGTCACGGCGGTGGACGCCGGCAGTTGGCTGGGCAGCACCGCTGGCTGGTCTTGGCAGGTCCAATTGGCCCCAATTGTGTCAATTGGGTCTATTTGGGTTTAATTTGAAGCAATCGGGTAAACATTGGTTTGATCGGGTGATTTGGGCTTGTTTGGGCTGTTACTCTTTCATCATGTTGTCGGTAGGGTTGTCGGGCAGCTGTTCGGGCCGGATGAAGGGGCTGCCCGGGCCGACTATTTGGGCTTTTGGGGCCGGTGGTTTGGGCCGGCAATACGGGGCTGCCCAAATGGGCAGCAGATCGGGCCGCTGGGTCGGTCCGGCGGGTTGTCGGGCTGATCCGGTGGAAATTGATACTGTTACGGCGGGTGCAGCGAGCTTGAGGATAAGTCCTCACTCCCAAGTTCGCGACAAAGGTAAGTTATTTAAACACCGTTGGATTTAATGCTGTTGTTTGAGCATGACGGTAATCGGGAGAAGTGATTCTCCCGATAGGCTGCGGAGTGTGTTGTTCTGATTATGGAAATGTTAAGTGTTTGTTATCACTTGAGAACTCTGTTGAAAATTGGCCACCTAGTATACCTAGGCGGATCTGAACTGAATTGGATAGTGTAATCACCAATAGGACTGTTGTTAGGTTCAGGCCTTGTGGAGCATGTTTGCATGTCCAGTCAAAACGTACGTACGGGAGTCACTGTTCTACCTTAGGGATTCCTTGGTAGAGACTCCAACCCGCCCATTGAGGATTCTCTTTGGGTTTGTCCGAGCATCGGCCTCGAGGAATCCGCTCGAGTGTCCGTTACTCTAGTCTCTTGAATTTAGCCTTAGTGTTGTAGGGGCAGAAATAGCCTTTGGGAATAAATGAATTGGAACATTTATATCCTTGTATCTGGAAATAAATGTTGATTGTTCACTGAAGGTTATATATTTGTTGTAGGGGCATTTATATATTTGTTGATTATATAAATGCGATACTATCTGCGAAATTAATTCTAGCGTTAGAAATTTCTCTCACTCAGCTTCCAGCTGAGCGTGTAGTTTTGTTGTCTTTGACTGCACGCTGGATTTGGATTGAGAGGGCCAGCCTAGAGGACGTTGACGCGTTACGCCGTGGGTGACGTCACTATTTTTATTATGGACATTTAATTATTGCGTTAATTAATTATTTGAGTTAAACATTTATTGTAGAACGTTATTTTGAGACTTTTGCACTTGATAGACTTTACTCTAAATTTGAATAACTTGTGTGAATTGTTGTGTTGTGAATATCAATTTAGTAGCAACCCGATTCGTTAACTCCTTGATTTGGGTTACGCAAGTTGGGGTGTTACACTGGAACTCCCTACTCCAGTACCTTAAGGCTCTTCCTTAAGGATTTCAAATCCACTAACTCATGGTCTCTTAAACTCCGTCAAAGCACCATACGAGTTTGACAAACAACACTTGCCAATAGGATTCACTCTGAGGTTTTACAACGGCTATCACAAACCGCTTACAATGAAGATTTCATGGCTATCTTCGACCGTTCCCCCCAAGGATTTCAAAGGTTATCCTTGAACTTTACCCAAGGATTTATACGGCTATCCTCGACCGTTACAACTTGAGAATTTAACGGCTATTCTCGACCGTAAGAAAGTGTGCTTGAAGAGCACAAGAAATGGTTCTACACAACAGCTTGAATAGAAAAATGAAGAACAAGACTTAGTCGGTGTAGAACGAAATTATACTCTCTCAAAAATACAATATAAACTTATGAATATGGGAGTATATCACTAAAACAAAAGCTCAAAAGTGTGTGTATAAAAATCAAGAGAATGAGGCTCTTAAAATAGCCAAAATATGAATAATTAAGAATAAAAGAGTAAACACACTTGAAATATAAAAGTAGGATGTTTGGAGTTTGAGTTCTTGTTGAAAAATGAAGTATTAGGCTTGTATTTATAGTGGAAGGTGTTAACTAGCCGTTATGAGGTGATTAGGGTTGATTAAATTCAAATTCAGCAATCAAGAACAGTAGCGCCAACAGTTACGGTATCCTGTCACGGTAGCTAGGTACCGTACATTAGCTAGGTCAGGCCAAAACTCTCTGGCGGTAGCTATCCTCTTACGGTACCCCTTCTGGTAGGGGGTCCCGAGATGACGGTAGGGGGTACCTTCTAAGATTGACTCACGGTACCCCTTACGGTACCCCTCGTGGTACCCCTTACGGTACCTAGGTACCTGCTGACCGTTTTGATGATTTTTTCATTTTTGTCCATATCATTTCCAATTTTGTTTAAACATATTTTGTGAGTGCTTTTGAGCTTGTGAATACAGGTATATAAAATCATATCCTTACAATAGTTTCTACCTATATTCTACGCTACTTTAGCCTTTCGACTTCATTCTTGAGAACCGAATCTTAATGGATTCTTATTGAACCTGAAACACTTAAACAAATGTTAGATCTTATATTGTTTGTTAACATTAAAACACGAGGCTTTAGCAAACAGAGGCTAACAATATGATCTTATTTTCATAAGAATAAGTAGTAAACAGAAAAAAATAAGTTTAACGAAACGCAGCCTTACTACATAATTTATTAGTGTCAACAATTTGCAAAATTTTATCACAAGAAAGGAATCTCATCAAGATGTATGATGAAACCTTACATACAAAAAGCTTATGACACGGTAAACTAGAAAGCTATTAGAGGTATCTTATACAACCTTAAATTTCTAGCCCTTCATTATGTAGATTATGTTTTGTATCTCTACCCCATCTTACACTATTAATGTAAATGGAGAGCATCATGGTTATTTCACAAGTGGAAAAGGATTGAGACGGGGAGGGGAGAGGGTGGGCAAATTCTTTTATTTATTCTAGTTATGGAGTACTTGACTAGAAGTTTCAAAGTTGCCGCTCAAAATAATTATTTCCATTATCACCTTATGTGTGCTATTTTGAAAGTTACTAATCTTATTTTTGATGATGATATGATAGTTGTCAGTAAAGCTAATACTAAATCAATTCACTATATTATAGATGTGTTAGATGGCATCCACAGAACAACTAGATTGAAATCCATAAAGACAAATCTCAAATTGCGTTTGCAGGAGTCAATTAAGACCAACAAACTGAGCTCCTAAAGATAACTGATGTGAAACAAGGTAGACTACATTTTACTTATCTGGGGAGTCCTATTACTCCGCTAGATTGAAGGCTATCGATTGAGATGCCTTAATCAGTAAACTAACTAATAAGATTACTACGGGGGGATCTAGGCATCTCAATGCCAAGAGATAAGCCTTGTGATATTAAGATAGTTGGATATGAGTGGCTTCGAAGGCTAAATCCCAGACCGAAATGATGTGATTGGGTTTGGTGGAAATACACTCCTCCAATGTTCAGGATTATTTGTTGGCTTTTACAAAGAGGAAGTTTACAAACGAAGAATAGACAGCAAATTCCTAGCCATAAATACATATTGTGCTTTATGTGAAGGGCAGTATGAAAAGAAGTAGACTTCTTCTGTTTTTAAAAACACTTCCTCTTTCATTTTTTTCACTTCTAACAAAACACTTCCACTTTCTATTAAAAACCACTTTTGCCCTTATTTTTTCATACTCTACATATCACTTCATATTTTTTCTCTAATAATTTATCTTTCAGATTTTACTTTACCCATCACATCAATGACAAAATTGGAAATCAACTATAATTTAATACTCCCTTATTTTTATACTTGGTCAAATTAGGAACTCTTTTTTGAGAACGGAGCGAGTACAAGACAGTTAGGAATACTTTTCAGTTGCAATTTCAAGGCAACTTCCTTGAAGTTGGAGAAGAATTGCTAAATATCAAAGAGAAGAAAAGAAGCGATAAATTTCTAGCTATATGGGCAGCTTGTATCTATGGCATATGGAGGGCAAGAAATAGATACCCACATAAAAAAGTAAATTGAAGACATCATAAATTATACCATTTCTTATACTTCCTTCCTCCCAAATTAAATTATCTCTTTATTATTCAAAGAGAAACTTCATTCACTTCCTTTTCAAATTTTCGTAAGTCATTTGATAAAATATTACTGTCATGTAACCATTAGTTTTGTAGACTTTTTATGTAGTTTTTAAATGTGTAATTTTATTTTTTAAATCTACACCATTTTTCATATAAAATGGTCTATAAATAACCTGAGTCAGACATCGTAACCGAAACAAGCGCTTCAAATTGGGACGGCGGGAATGTTATTTATACAAGAATTTTTTGTAGCTTGGCTTGATAATTGTTTTTTTTTTGGAATTGTATTTGTGATGAAATTTGGATGATTGTAAAAAGGCGTATTTACTTTTAGTACAATCAATTTGGCTTGAGAACTAGTTTCTTTTGCATCATATTGATTTTAGATTTAAAAAATAACTAGTTTTTTATATTGTATTGATTTTAGAGTTAAAACTGGTTTATTTTGTATTTTATTTATCTGAACTAAAATAAAAAGTGAACCCACTTTTTTGTGGTCTATCAAAAAGTAATCACCTCAAAGTTGTAGCTGAGTTCAATTCAAGTGTTTAAAATTTGTTAATAATTTGAGGCAAATTTGTCTTGTATGTTAAATTAAATTTTTTTAAATACTTATTTTAATAAGGATGGACTTGAACAGAACTTAAAAAAGTAAAAAATAGGATTCGTTTACGCAATTCAATAGAAAATGAAATTGGACAAAGCTTTTTGTACCCCAAACTTCATTAAACTTTTTGCTTCAAGAGTATAACGGTAACTTAAAATGCAAAATAACTAAAAAAATTAGGATGATTTCAAATAGCATTTAAAGCTGATACTTCCTCCGTCCCAAATTATAATGCTTGCTCACTATTCACAGGGTCAAACTTCATTTACTTTCTTTCTCTATTTTCGTTAGCAATTTGATAAAATAAAGTATTATTGTCACTACTAGTTTTGTAGATTTTTTGATGTAGTATTTTAATGGGATAAGGACCAAACTAAGAGTAAAAGATATGACATATTCTCAAAATAGGAGTTGAAACTTAAACTCCTCTAAATAGGAATAATTAATTTAATTAATCTAATCTTCTCTCACACACTCTCCCTTCCCTTCCATTTCTTAATGTCCATATAAACAAAGCGATAATACCCCTCGCGACATAGATGGCGGTGGTGTGGGCAGCGGGACCACTTCCAATGATGCAGACGCTAGTCCTGTGGTGATTTTTGCCTTCCATCGCAGTGTAATTCCCCTGGCCGGTAGTCAATGCAGCGGAAAGAGGAATGATGTTGCTGGGTTTTCTGAAAGGTTTTAGGAGTCTTCCGAAAATTGACCGCTACACATTTTGTTTCCTTCGTATTTGAATGAATTGAGTCAAGAAGTTTGACTGGGCTTTAGCGGGTGGGTTGTATTTGTTTGGTTGTAATTTAAACTTGTAATTTGATGAAAATGGTAGTAATTGATTTTATCTTGAGTGTCAACTTGAAAGTTCTATAGAAAACGTGAAAACGAGGGAAGAATAATGTTTGAGAAAGAAAGGCATGATTTGTTACCATAAATCATTTGTAAGGTTACGAATGAAGGCAAAGAAAATAAAATAAATAAAGTTTAAATTTATAAATTATTCAAATATATACAAAAGAATGATATAGTAGAGAGGCCACTATCGAGACGAGACTTGCACAGTGACATATAAAGGCATACATGTGAATGCATAGTATTAAACAAAGAGATAATACCAAACATGAAAATGTATAATGCCACACTTGGCAATGTATAATGACAGATATGTCATTGTATAATGCTACATATCACACATGTTAATCATATGTTAGCATTAGGGGTGCATACAAATCAAATAAAATGTATTCGATTCGTGATTCGTATTCGAAAAGGATGATTCGTATTCGCTATATTCAAATTCGAATCCGAATACAAATCATATTTTAGATTCGAATTATTTTCGAATTTGAATACAAATATTAATAGATTCGATTCGTTTATTATTCGAATTATTCGAATATTATAATTTATAAATAAATTTATACATATTCTAATATATTAAATATTTGTGTACATATTATAACATATTTTAATATATTAAATTTTTGTGTACATATAAATTTATATATATTCAAATATTATAATTTATAAATAAATTTCTATATATTCTAACATATTTTTACTACATTTTACATTATTATAAAATAATAATTTAATGTCTTTAATAAATCTGTTTTAAGAAAAAAAATTACTAATATTTTCGAATTCGAATATTCGAATATGAATTCAAATACGTCAAATATCTATCGAATCGAATACGAATGTTTTTTAAAATTCGAATTATATACGAATCCGAATTCGAATACATATCACTTTAATCGAATACGAATCGAATAGTGATATATTTGCTTCGATTCGATTCGTATACACCCCTAGTTAGCATCAGACTATTTTGATGCCTTACTTTGTCATCTTTGCATAATTTTCAAGTTCCAACCCATGCTTTTCGCCTTTTTGGGGTTTTCTTTCTTTTGAGAGAAGCCTTTGTTAGCCTGCATAGAGAAAAAGTTTGTGGAATTAAGTAGTATTCGGGTCGCACAAGGAATGATGGGCCTCTTGTTTCATATTCTAATTTGGGAATGGAATCAAAAGTTTTTTTTATACCAAAATCCATCATTCTCGTCGTTGATTTTTCGCCTTCACTGCCGACATCACGGCTCTCTTGCCTCTCTACCACTGTCTCCAACACCATAACCACAATTTGCATTGTTGATATCACAGTGACACATTAGCTACCAAATACAATGTTAAAAAACATAATGTCAAACATTACACCACATAGTGTCACAAATGATAATGCATAATGTCACAAATTCCCATATGTAATGTTTTAGATGCAAATTGACAGTGTCACACAAAGATAAATAGCCCATAGTCTAAAAGCTTTTTTTAATCGATATGTGCATTCCAAATCAATAATCAAAAATTAAAAAAATAAGTCATTGTAGGGGGACAAAGAAGTATTTTTGATTTGCTAAATTTATAGCTAAAACATAAAAACATACACAAAACAACACACAACTAATAGATGATGCACTGCATATAACACTCGCTATCAATAATTAGAGTCCAAAAAAGGTAAAAAATCATAAAGAAAAAAGAAGGGTTTTTGGAAGGGGAATTTCGTCGAATACCTTTTGGGCCTCAAACGCATCAAAACAGTCGGGAGAAAAGAGGCGTTTCTCCGCTGGACCGAACAAGATGAGAGATTTTGGCATACATAGATTAATTGAGAAACGCAGAGGAAACTGATAGCCAGAGCTTCTTTAACAATAATAAAGCCCCAAACAATAAACCCAATCCAAAAGTTATATGCGATTGGAAAAGGAAGGGCAACGAGGGGGAGGGGAGATGGCGGAAGGAGGAGGCGGTAATCGTGACAGAGGGTCGACAACGGTGGTAGCTAGGGCAGTGGGTGCGATGGTGCAGAGAAGAAGCTAAGCAGAGATAAAAGGAAGAGACCATTTTTCTCTTTTTGTGCGGTCAAGAAAAATTGATTGAATATGGTTCAGGTAGGACTTTGGATAACATCACTTATTACTTGATTAATCACTCCTATTTAGAGGAGTTTAACTTTGAACTCCTATTTTGATGATATGATATATGTTTTACTCCTATTTAGGAGGTTTTCTTTATTTTAACATGTAATTTTTATTTTTTAACTATATACCATTTTTCATATAAAATGATTTGAAAATAATTTCAGTCAAACATCGTAAACCGAAACAGGCATTATAAAATGGGACGGAAGGAGTATTATTTTGAAGGCAAATTCTTTTGTGCTTTTTAGGTCCATACTTTATGGACCTTGAGAGATGAAATGATTAAATGTATTCAGCCATGTAAAATGAAAGAGGTCCAACTAAGAGCTCATAAAAAAATGTGAGAAAGTCCACGTTTCACATGTGGAGCTTAGGACCGCGATAACACAACTCTATTTTGAAAGACCACATATAGGTTATTATTTCACAATTTCTTCTATTTTAAATAGCCCCACAATAGATTAATCTTATACGGAGTATAACATTAACAATTAGCCATATTAAATTTTACATCCCCGTCTCACAAACTCTTTCTCTTTTCTTTTTTTTTGGTTCCACAATCCTTTCGTCCTTTCTTCTAAAATGTTACATTTACCCCAATTTATTCTTACCCTACATAGCTACATATTACATCATATTTATCATATTTATTCAATAATATATCTCCCCATTAGGAATATAGTTATTTATTGATCAAGTGCGACTATACATTTATTGTTGATGGGATATGCCACCTCCTCCTGTCTCACAAAGTGTTTCTTGTTTTCATTTTTATAAAATTTAAGGAAGATATATTTTTGCGTTGATTTTTCTATATTGCCATAGATGTGTGAGAAAGAGAGAGAAAACCGTTATCTTTCAATAGTACCTTAAGGGTACCAAACCCCACCTCACCAAATAAATAAAAAGACTTGATATTGGCACTCCTAGAAGTGTTCTTTTAAGGGACAGCAAACTCCATTTAGAAACTCACATAGACCACTGATGACTTCCTGTCTGCCTAGCAAGAGGCCACTACATTTTTCCCCTTGCGAACAAACGCAATAGCACGAGACGAAAAGCTAGCTAACAGAACTCTACAATCAATAACCAAGGTACCAAAATAAAGATGAAAGCCTTCTATTCTCCTCCCAAGGTATTGAGCACTCCAAATTTTTATATTCACAACAAAACCTATGACAACAAGTTCGGAAGAATTAAAAAAGGATATTTTGTCTTAAAATATGGGGTTTGGAGAGTCATGAAAACTTTTGAAATGTCAATATCACTTCCCATAAGGAATATAGTTTAAAAGGAAAGGATTGCCTCCTTTCCTCTCGGTGTGGTTTGGTACCCCATGGGGTACGTACTAGAGACTACACTAAATTTATTCCGGTACCAAAACCACAGGATGCAACTTTAACGACCACCACCAGACGATATTAAGTAAACATATCAGTCTGTCTTGGGGGAGCATTCCAATCTTGGAAACTGATCAAGCCTCACAATCTCCTGTTTAGCCATTGAATGATATCATTTGCCACTTCTTCCTTTTCCGGTTCGAACAACAGATCATGCAACAGACCTTCATATAGTTTGATCGTTTTGTCAGCTGATGAGGCTTCTTCGTACAGTCTCTTAGAAGCTTCAGGGTCAGTGACCAAATCAGAGGTACCGTGAAGAACTAGAAACGGAACAGTCAACCTGCTGAGATTCGTTTGCAAGAACGTGGTTATCAGAAGAATCTCGTACCCAGTTCTTACTCTGATGGATCCAGTAAACACCAATGGATCTGAGTACTTAGCCACTAAGGCCTCAGGATCCCTAGAAACTGCTATACCCCGTTTGTTAGCTGCACTAAACTGATATCTTGGCAGCAACATGGAGAATACTGGAGCTAGAGCCTAAGAATGAACAAAAGAACATGGCCATTATGTGTTTTTGCAAAACAGGTGGAATATATAAATATAACAGAAACACAGGGCTGGGGTGTGCTCACTGTAACAACGGGATGCGATGGCTGAACTCCTACAGCAGGCGAAGTCAACACAATGCCAGATATGAGGGCACTGACCTTGGGGTCAAGTGCAGCCTACAATGACAGGGAAAACTGAATTAGTTATGGTAACCAGCTTAAAAATGATAGTTTCCATTGTACAGAGAATGAAAATATTACCTTCAGGACGATGGCTCCACCTGTTGAATGTCCAAAGAAGAAGCATTTAGGTCTTCCACGATTATTATCATTATTATTATCTGCTAAAACCTTTATGAGGAACATTTTCTAGGCACAAAAAAAAACAAGCCATCAGAAATCATATATAGAGATGTGTTATGGTCCCACACAGTTAACTGGTTCATACCGTATCACTAACTGCATCATCAAGTGAATGAACATATGCGTGTAAACCATCACTTCCACCATGCCCTGTAGAAACAAAACCAGCAAACATTTGGTTTGATGTATTCAACATCATGCATATGCGTACTCTCCTCATTATAAAGCAACACACAGATAATATTTATTATACAAAAAAACCAATATTTTTTACTTTAAACCACAATAAGATTATGTGATGAATAAAGAGCAATCAGGTAGAACTTTGAGGGAGCAATCTTGTAATTGATTTTCTTGTTATTTTCATTTTCAGACCGTCTTTAGCTTATTTATGTTTGGATGTGATTTTCCTTTAGATCTATTCATTTCCATGTTTTAGGAACTTCATTGCATGTCGTCCCTATAATAAAAAAGCTTGTTTTGCTTTGCAAATAATATATCAATGAATGAGGCAAGGAGAAAACTCCTTAATAATTCAATCCCATGGTAGCCTATGTCACGTCAAGATCATCCCCATAACCGCAATCACCCCGTCCACGCCTACAACGCCACGTAACAACTAACAAGGCCACACAAAGGAAACAAAAGAGGGAGGGAGAGAAAGAAAGATAGAGAGAGAGAGAGGGGAGAGAGAGAGAGAGTAAGAACATCATACTCATTTAAGTTTCTGTTGGTTTAGGCATTATGACCCAAGTGCCTACTAGTTCAGGAATGTGTGGAGTGGGAATGTGGTCAGCCCAAAAAATAATTTCTTGATAGCCTTCTCATTTAAGTGGGGCCTTAATAACTCATGTTTTTTCATTTCACGTTGTTAATGCTACCTTTCCTCCTACCATCCTTACGTGCAATGACTTATGCAAATTTACCAGTCTACATGCTTACTTATGAGGAGCCGCTTCAGACTACTTTTTCGCACCAATTGCATCCGGATTGGAAAACAAAATCAATCCCTGCAACATGCAAATATAGATGCATAGTTGATGGATGAATAAAACATCAGAAGGCTTTGTTCAGAGGAATCGTCCCAACTAATGAGCAATTAAGTCACAAAGTTCAAGGCGGGCAAAGAGGGTATCACCATCTTCTGAACTGATTGAATGTTCTACTAAATCTATGTCACTTTCTTGACAGAAAACATTAGCTTATCCAATACTCCGGTCTAATCATTGCTATATATTTTTCTCAAAGTACGCATCAGGCTAAGCATGGTCAACTAGTGCATGCCAAAGTTACAAGTGCCACCTCTACTCCCTCACTCAAGATCATAATATAATGGCATCGGTCCCATTATATTCATGTTTCTAGTTAACTTAATGAAGCTTTACAGGCCATTTAGAGGACACTTTTATACTCCTTCAGTCCCAAATTATGATTCCCCGTTTGACCGAGCACGGAGATTAAGAAAAGTTTAAAAAGTTATTGAATTTCCTGATATACCCTTACACTCTAGGTATGCACCCCATAGTACACCATAATTTCCGGGCATGGACCGTGGAGAAGAGGGCAGCCTCTGAATATAGAATGTCAGCAGGAAAATGAGAATGAAGCTAACAATTAGAGTGGAGAAGATGAAATCAAGCTTGGTAAGACCAATGTTAGAGTTGGTGGCTACATAGATGGCAACACTGGTGCGAGCCAGCTATTTCATCACAACTTTTAATGGGAATTGAGCGTCAACAGCGAATCTAGATCTCCAACTGACAAGAGAAGTTGTCGACAATCTCCACTAACAAATTAGTTTTTAAGGGAGAACGGGAATCTGGATCTCCAACTGGATTTAATTGGCAGTCGGACACATTTCCAAATCTGAAGTGAAAGCTACTGGGACAGAGGGTATAAAGAGCAGCGCAACGGAAGGTCTCCAAGTGCATTTACCTCAAATACTTTGCACTTTGCTGTAAAAGAGGGTATGGAATCTGATAAAAGGGAAGAGTATTGAGGGTATCTGTGTCTTTTCAATAAAAAGTTTCCTTGTTAAAAAATGGGAACTTTAGAAAAGCAAAAACAACATGAATAAAGGGTGTAAAAAAGGACATAAGGCCTTTTAAACATAAAGATCACATGACACAAGACAAAATGAAACATGAAGATAGTGTTAACCTAAAAAATTATCTCTAGATTCATTGAGTCAAGCTCGTTGATTGAAGATTAAGGTTGTGCTGTTTGTTTTATGCAAACAAACAATTTTTTTTTATTTAAAATAGTGAAGTAGAATGATAAGCAAAACAAACCACGTTACTAGTACAGACATCTCTTTCCCCTTCCCCCGTGAGGTAGAAAGGAAAATGTAAGATTGAGTGAAAAAAATCCAGTTTATATTTCACAATACCAAATGTTATATATCGGGCCTGTGTTCTCAAAAACCCTCAATAATAAATGCTTCCCTTATATTTACTACACCTCATTCATGACAAACACACCAAGTAAGGACATATTTTATTACCATGGCTGAAATTACCCCTTCGTTTTTACCTTTGGAGTGTTTCTTTTTGTCACAAATAAACCTTTACTCATTTCATTTTGTTACGGCTCAAATTGCCTTTCACTTTTCCATCATTCATGTATTTCTTTTCAACTAAATAAATTTTTGCTCATTTCTTCCTTAGTAGAGCCAAATTTTCAGACCATTTTTTGTCTACTCTTAAATTGTTAAAACTTTATCTTTAAAGTGTGTTGGTTTCTCCATAAAATAGAGTGCTGACTATGTGCATACAACTTAGGGATTTAGTTTGTAGTTTACAATGACATGTTTTTTTCCATAAACTGAAGTTGTGTATGCCTGCTCTGTTTGCTTTTAGTTTTGTAAAGTGTCATTTGTGTGTGTTTATGCTTGTGCTTTTGTTCAGTTCATGATAATGTGTTTCCTTTGTCTGTGCTTTGTGCTTCAGCCAGGGGCCTCTGTGAAAAAAGCCTTACTACTGCTAAGTAGGGGCAAGTTCTGCTTACACACACCCTCCCAAGACCCTACTTTTGTGCAATTTTATCAGATTCGTTGTTGTGGAAATAGGGGTAGTATAAATACCCCTTGTAATGGTTTGGATGCTAATCAAGTTTTGAATGTAAAAATATCTTTCTACATACATTGTGGATTTCAAAATTCTAGCAAGTGATTTGCTATCCATTTCCTAATTTTATCTCTTTGTTTGACAACTTAAAATTTGTATTAGAAATCCACTTATATCTCAATAGTGTGTCATATATCCAAATATCAACTTAGCTTATCCTCTATTTTCCCTTAACTTATTTTCAAAATTCCCACCGTAAAACACAAAAATATAACTTCCATTTAAATATTTACCAAGTCATAAGTGAATAAATAACATTTGGTATCAAAGCGGGACCTAACATTTAACATTTGGTATCAAAGCACCCCTCCCATATAACACCATATGCAAGATACTAAGCTGCATGCATTCAAAAGTTATTCCCTAGAGTAATCAAAGGCGGAAACTAGAATAACGGATAAGTGATAAAGGCATAATGATTAAAAGAAATGGTAGAAGATAAATTTTTAATATGTTTACGGTATATTACCCCAGTATTGGACTACTACTAATCCAGAGTTGATACTTCTAAACCCCATTTGAGGAGCTGTTCTGAGTTTTGACACCTGTTATGCATGCATACAACTACGATATGATAATCGTGAAAACGAATCTTTGTTGAGAAGTTGACATATAAAATGGACAAATAGGGAATTTATGAAGCACTATATAGTGTTCTACAATTTGTCAATTAAATGTAGAGAGTTGAAACAAGGTAAGACAGACAAGTTTTCATAGAGTCAGTTAGTGGGTCAAACAATATAATGACTCTGTATGTAAAAACAGATATGTCATAGGTTTTTTCTCGTATTCCCTCTATTAGAAAATTTGCCAAGGGTGTTTTTGAGGAAGTTGAAAAGTGGATTTAAAAGTGTTATTAATTGGGGAAATGCTGATTTGAAGATCATAATATCTTTTCAATGGTTAAAAAACTTTAAAAAAGAAAGTAATGGGAAGATGATTTGGGGCATCCTATATGGTTTTTGTGAAGATGATTTTGGGAAAGAGGGAGTATATAAATATGAGTCACCTGGCCCATCATATCGAATGACGTTTGTCCAATAATCCGTATTATATATGTAATCAGTTAAAATACACGGAAAAGCAAATATGAATGTCATCCAGGTATCAAAGTGAACACACATGAATAGTTAAATAATCCAGGTGTAATGAGTATTTTGAGTACTCAGTTAAAAGACCATGATGCAGAACAATACAGTAAGAGAGACCATAATAAAAGTGAGGAAAATGAATTTTTATGATTGACTATTACTCAGAACTTGCAGCATCACGGGAACATTAAGGAAAAGGGAAAACGTAGCCATTTTGAAGAGATCAATTCTTTGTACTTACCAATCCAATCCATTCCATAGACCTTGAATCCATTTGCATTCAGTTTCTTTGCAAATTCAGAATACCTTCCACTGTTGAATTCACTTCAATTAATATTATAAATATAGAAAGGTAATGGAAACTACGGATTGTGTCAAAACAAGTAATTACACTAACCTGTGCTCATTCAGACCATGTAAAATGATGGCAATTCCTCTGCACGGTAAATTTTGGAATGATCAGAACAATTGAACACAAGCATATAGTTGAATCTTAAAAAAATAGTTTTGAAGGCAGTTAACAGAGCATATTAATTACATTAAATAAAATGCATACAAGTACAAGAAGAGCAAACACCAACACCAAACCCAGTAAAATCTGCCACAGGGTCTGAGAAGGTGTGTACTGAAACCTTGCCCCTACCAAAAAAGTAGAGATGTTGTTTTGAAGAGGCCCCCGGCTCAAAGCACAAGGGCACACCGATAAAGGAGAGTAGCATGACGAAAATAAGAACACAAACAAAAACAAGCACACATGAAGAAACTACAAACTTAGGCACTGTAGCACACATGCAAAACTACAAACTTAGGATGAAAGATATATCCTACCGTGATACCACACTAATCCTATACCTGTAGACGCTCCTATCTAAAGCCTAGACGCTCCTATCTAAAGCCATATCGGTAAGATCCTAAAGTTTTAAGTTTTTTATAAGCATCTCATTCCAACTCTTCTTAGGTCTTCCTACACCCCTCCTCATTCCCTCTAATTTAAGCCTCTCACACCTCCTTGCTAGGGCATCTGTACTTCGCTCTAGCAAACTCCAAGAATGAAACTCCCCCAACATTCCTTACACTAAAACAAAATCCTCTATGCACCTCCCCATTACCCCCAACAACAGTCTTGATGTAACCATTCAAATTTCATCCTATGACAAACTTCTCATATCGTGGGAAACCTCTACCACCTTCCATCAAACTCCTCCCAATTCCCTTTTAACTTCTTCATCCAGGTCAACATGAGGTGCATAGGCACTGTCAACATTGATAGTTCACCTACCAAGCACAAGTTTAATAACCATGAGTGGTGCACAAACCCTCCTCACCTCAACCACTAGCTCACGAAGGTCCTGATCAACCAAAATGGCAACCCCATTTTTGCTCCATGAAGCACCGGATTACCACAACTTGAACCCATCCACATCATGCACTTCGGTTCCCACCCATGATGTCTCCTGAACACACGCAACGTGAATCTTCTTCTAATCTTCTTTTTCTTAACTCTTAAGGACCTGCACCAACTCTAAAGACTACCCCATCAAGGACCCCATGTTCCACGACCCATCGATAGAGATGTCAGAGGGAGCGAGTGTTTCGTGATTGAGAATACACAGGAGAGAGCTGTTTGAAAAAGCTAAAAATAAGAGCGATCACCGAACCTTACAATGCAGACCGCATAGTAATTAACAACGAGAATAACTTGTTATAGGTCAAAGCTCTCAACATCTAGAAATGTTGGAAGCCATGATAGTTATGTCATCTTCACAAGACACATCCAATTTGATCATTCAAGCACTGCATTTCATTTGAAAAAGGGGCAACTAAATATGAAAAAACAGGTTATCTTTCCTGGATATTATGACCTGTAATTTTGTAACAAAAATAAATACATGAAAATCTTAATTTTAATTTCAATCAAATACTCATATACAAATAGAAAAAAGTTCACATACAAAAATGTTCAACTATAGGAACATATTCGATCATGTATATTAATCATAAAATACATGAGGGAATAACTCATAAATCATAAAATGCGTTAGAAAACAAGTAATTGATCAGACATATTTGAAGGAGGGAATAACTATTCATTACGAGAACAGAACAGAAATTAATCATTTACCGAATTGTTTCAGAGACTGGCGTCCATGATTGAGTAAACAAGGTGTCGCCTCTGGGCGTAACAAAGAGGGAGAGCTGCCTGACCGTATGATCATCGACATCCTGCATCACACGCCTCATTGCAATAGCTCTCCTTGCTGCTACATCCTGGTCCAGGGCACACTTCCTAGCCACCATCATCGTGGGGACCCTCACCTTCCGATCCAATCCCTTCTCATCCTTCCCGCAACCCTTCTCCTGAGACCCAGATGCCGAAACACTCCCTACCCCAGAAGTCATCCGCCAACGCCCCCTAAACGGGAGAAGAAACAGCAGCACAAAGGCATGAACCAGCACCCACAAACTCCGCAACACCTGCATCGAGAACAGAGCGCTGATTCGGCCGCTCGCCCCAGATGTCAGGATTATAGTCGCCCTGGCATTTGTCCCCTTCGCCACATCCACGTCCATTGGTTTCCCAAACGCAGATGCTCTAAATCCGGATACACGCCTGTGCGGATTACCAACTCGCAATCTGGAAAATTGTACGGATTTCGGAAGAAACTTCCGTCTGAAATGTAGCGACCTAATCCCAGTAACATAAAATGCGTGAATCCCTAAGAGAACCATAAAACAGATATGAATAATCCAGCAAAAAACAAACTTTTACAGTTCGTAATGATCCTCAAGAAATTATCAGAAGGGATGAATTTGAATGGGAATGAATGGTTTGTTTTCTCGGAAGTGAAAAAGTTGAAGAGATGGGGAATGGAATTTTGACGGATATAAAGATGCAAAAGGAAAGTGCAATTGGGCGGACGATCCTAACCCAGCTCAGCAGGATTGACGGTAGAAAGTTCGCCACAATTCGCTTGAAAGAGACACGTGATAGAAATGCGGCAATTCGCCAAATTCGTTTAAATGGGTAGAGCCGGTATGGGTGACAAGTGTCGTACGTCTTTAGGGTGTTCAGTGACTACCAGGATGCGATTTACACGTGTGCCACCATCCCATACTCCATTAGGCCATCTCCAATGGGATGCCCAAAACAGATGCTCAAAGGAGAGAGAAGAAGATGTTTAAAGATGTCACTATTGGAGATGGGTGTTTAGAGGAGGTGTTCAAAGAAGAAAGAGAGTGAGAGATGCTCAAGAGAGCACCTGATGCTAGCATTCAAAATCATGTGTGCATTCTTTTATTTTTTGTAAAATAAGCTTTTTTTAATAGTACACTCTCTTTTTAATGTTTTTTTTCTTTTCATTTTTGTGTCTCTTTTTTTCCCCGGAAAAAATCTTTACCATTTTTTTTATACAAACCCATTTTCCTAAGTTTTTTTTCTTTTCTTTTTCTTAACTTGTAGTGATACCATAAAAAATTGTTAGCCTTGGTTTGCCATAAATCTGTTTGAAATAGTCTTTCATTTGATTGAGTATGATGTGCACAAAATAAATAAATAAATACTCCATAAAAAAATATGACACCCTATTTTATTTTTAGTAATACCACCGTGCCTTTAATTTTTTAATCAAAATTTTTTAACAATAAAAAAAGTCATTGATAATATTTTTAATTATTTACACTATTTTTTTCTTAAAAATCTTTTAATTAATAATTAATTACTCCATATTTAACACTTGTATATATAATACAAAAATCCATAATTAATAATATAAAAATGGCATTTATATGTGAATAGGATCCACCCAAGGCATCTCAATGAGATGTCACCATTAAAAGGTTTGGATGTATAAAGAGATGCTCCAATGCTATCTTTAAAATAAAGCCCACATTTGGGCATCTAATTAGAGGTGCTACCACTGTGGATGCTCTTACTCCTCCACCCAAAGCAACTTTACTCATTGGAAAATGCTAGGGGTACACCAAAAGTGTACCCCGGTGTACCCCAAACATCCCCACCCCTTCCATCACCACACAAAAAAGGTAAGAAAATTTCAAAAAAAAATAAAAAATAAAAAGAAAATAAAATGAATGGTGTAGAGGCAAGTGGTGTACATTTGGGGTACACCTTTGGTGTACCCCTAGCATATCCCTTACTCATTTGATACTCCATCTCATACTAAATACCTCTAGGATTCCGTTCAACACATTTTTTTATTTATTATTTATTCTTAATAAAATTAGATTAAAGCAGTCAAAATCAAATCAGATCTTATCTAATCAGATTAGATCTAAACAAAATTATTATTATTACTATTTGATGGTGTAAATTACTACCTGGGAAAACTACTCTAGACTAGATCTAGTATGGTTTGCTTAGTTTGCTGAGTTTAGAACTAAAGTGGCACAGAAAACAAAAGTTGACCGGGAGGACTGTAGGTGGAAACACCTGTAGCCCAATTGTTATTAGGATATCGTAAAGTGCACGGAAGCTTTTACACAAGAGTTTTTAGAGACAAGGATTCGGATCCACTTCTATTGAGGGTTGCAAGGCTATTTATAGTAAAGCCTAGGGGACAAGACAAATACTGACCACGTCGCCCCACGTTCCTGGACGGTGCGAGGTGACCTCTCTTGTCACATAGTGTTTTGTCCCACTCATTTGTCAGCTTGTGTTGATGGCACCTCTCTTGGCGCGTGGTTCTTGGACGAGAATATCTAATATTCTTTGCGATCCTCAGTCGCTACCGTCCAACCATGCTTGGATTATTCTTTCCGACAAATGTGCACCCGAACTGACCACCCAGTACTTTCTTTGGTAATTTCTTGAAAGAACGTCTCACCACTCGAGATCCCCATGTAATGTCATGCTAGTTGATAGGCTGCCAAATAGTCAACTGGGTGGTCTTGGTTGAAACCACCCTAGTAAGGTACAGATCCACCCAAACAACCCTGATGCATGGTACTTGGACTTTGCCCGGGTGGTCTTGGTTGAAACCCACCCGAGTAAGGTACAGATCCACCCAAACAACCCTGATGCATGGTACCTGGACTTTGCCCAGGTGGTCTTGGTTGAAACCCACCCGGGTAAGCTACAGATCCACCCAAACAACCCTGCTGCATGGTACTTGGACTTTCGCGGGTTATTTTGGACGGGCCTGACCCCGGTCATGGCCTGAGTGGATTACACTCATCAATAAGTCCTCCACTTCTCGGCCTTGTATGAACTATCAAGGACGGGAAGTACTTTTTCGAACCTGGGTATTTTGCAATTTTTTTAAACTTGGGACGTTTTGTTGCCTAGAATTTTAGTACCGCCTTGATCATTCGAGGACCCTTTCAGCATCGCTATGTCATGTGGCCACCCGGGTAGATTCTAGGTAAACACAATCGAATTATTCCCGCTAGGTTTGTTGTCGTCATATAAGGTTAGAATCCACCTCGATGGATTTTAGCCCAAAGTTACTCGGGTGATCTTTCGGAGGTGAGCACCAAAGTCCTTACCAATCACCCGGTCATGTACATTGTTACCATGCTACCCAGTCATCGTGCTCTCTCTGCTACTGCTACGTCGTGTAGGTGCATGGGACCCAACTTGGTATAATTTCCTCTGCACGACCGGGTAAACTCCGAAAGTAGCCTGCTTCTTGAATCGCCTTGGATTTATCTGCTTATGAAAATCTCACTCGAGTAGTTTCCAAGATACTTTGACCGGATCAACTTCTCTTATCTTCTTTACTTATCACGTCAATCTAGAAATCCACCCGGGTTGGTTTTTTACAAAGCGCGCTCGGGCTATGCTTCATGTGAGTCATTTCTTCTTTCACCCGGTGAACAAGAACTCTAGTCCTCCGAGTGAGCAAGCTCTAGTCCTCGAAGTGGGCAAGGCAACTCTTCTCCTTCATGGCTTCTTCTTCAAAATTGGCATTTCACAGCCAACGTCGGGCATGCAAATGGGGAAGGTATTCTTAGAGAAGTCCCCCGAGCCCAATTGAGTGAATCCATCGTGACTTAGTCACTCACTCGGGTCTGAATCTTGACCGGGTGGGCAGTTTTGGTTTTTCGTGATTCATCTTGGGCAAGGTGGTTCACTCTAACTTTGCCCGAGTAAAAAGTGTTTTGGAAAAGATATCGAAGATTGGGGTAGGCCTAATGTTCCCAGTCCAACTCGGCTTTTTTTTGCTGAAATCGATATGCGACCGGTGTACCCAATTCGATTGGGCTCACACTCTTTGGAAAATATGTGCAAGACCAGTGCGAGACCACTGTACCAGTTCGACTGGGTCACATATTTTTTTTATTTTTTTATTTATACTGCGCAAGACCGGTGTGGGACCAGTGTACCAGTTCGATTGGGTCGCAGTCTTTCTAATGTGTGCAAGACCGGTGTGAGACCAGCATACCAGGCCGGGCCTTTGTCACATACTTTTATCATTTAAGCAAGACCGGTGTGATAACCAGCGTACCTGGTCCGAGCCTGTGTCTCAGTTCGTTTACCCGGGCTGGGTCCAACTTACTCGGGTGACTTTCGCGCGATGTAGGTCAAGATATGTTTGACCTTTATTTCCCTTCTTAACCGGGTCACCGTTGGGGCAAAAGGATTGCCTTGCCGGGTTTCGATGTGTGTTCGATGTATCTGGTCTGACTGGTTCACCTTGCTAGCTCCCATGATCTGGCCTGGTCAGGTTGATTTTTATACTTTCCCCTTCCCGCAAGGCTCGAGTCATATTCTGGCGACATCTACACTCTTTCGTATCATGTGAATTCGTCTTGTGGTAGGTACAATACCTATCTACCCGGGACCATTCTTGACCTTCTTTTTCTAGATTTTGGACTTCATAGCACTTCTCACCCCAAACCTCACTTATGACCAGGTCACCATGAGGTTGGGGGTCGCTCGAGCCAGCTTGGTTGTGTCTATCACCTTCTAGACCGGGCTTATTCTTTCTTTGCGTGGTACTGATCTTCTACTTCAGCAAATTCCCATGCCATGTTGTAGGCTTCCTGGTAGGTGCAGGGAGTCTCCTGCAAAATTCTTTATACAGCTCCCCGGCCTTGAGGCCGCTCAGAAAGAGCGACAACATCGTCTTGTCGTCTATCTCTTCCACATTGTTGACTTCTTCCCTCCACCTCATCAAGAATTTGGTGAGGTTCTCCGACTCCCTCTGCCCGGTAGCATAAGGTATGTGAATTTCTTCCTCTTGGTACAGTTCTCCTGAAACTTGGCTTTAAATTTGTCGGCCAGCTCGTTAAAAGAGTCAATCCTGCCGGGTGGGAGCTTGTTGAACCATTCAACCGCTCGCCCACGTAGCGAATGGAAAAAGAGGAGGCATTCTTCCTCGTTGATACATCATCGTGGCACTCTGATGGAAGGAGTTGAGGTGTATCTCGGGATCTTCCTTACCCGTGAACTCGGGCATCTTCATCTTAACCTTCTGGGGAAAAGGCGTTAGATGGACCTCGCGGTGAACTGTGAGTTCGCCAATTGCCACTTATCTTTTTCGTTCTTCTCTTTTACTTTCCTCTCCAGCCTTTCCAACTAGAACCTTGCCTAAGCGTTTGGAGCTTAGCAAAATTCTCACGAACATATTCGGCGGGTAAAAACTTCTTCTTTAGAAGGGACCTCATCTTTATCCACGTAGACACTGGCTCCTTGTCGTTTCTTCTCCTCTTGGTGCACGTATTAGTCCACCAGGTTGATGCATACTTCCGGAACTTTAAGGCCACTATCTTGACCTTCTTTTCGTCGGAAACATCTTTGAAGTCAAAGACGCGTTCCACTGTTTCTAGCCACTCAAGGAACTCGTCCGGGTCGTTCTTCCCTTCAAAAGTTGGGATGTCAACTTTGAAGTCAGAACCTTCATTGGCTTTAGGCTTCATGGTTCCACTAGAGCTAACTTCTTCTTCACGGTCACTTCCTTGGAGCTCGTTGAGCTTCATCTTCGTAAGCTTGGCTACCTCTTTAGCCAAGTACTCTACTTGGGCTTTCAAGGCTATATTTGAGGCAATGAGCTCTTCATGGGACATAGTTTGGGATTCATTTGACATGGCTGAAGTGGAAAGAGGTGGCGAAGGTCGTTTTGTTTGGCTTTGGGGATTTTCTTTGGGAGGAGGGAAGGGAGTGATGGTGAGTGGCCCTTGGGGATGTTCAACACTTAGCTTTGATACCAAATGTTATACCCAAGCTCAGGTTTTTAAAGGAAATATCTTGTTAAGAACAGGGAAGAAATAATCGATTGTCCAAAGTGGATAATCGATTATCAGGGGCTTCAGTTTCTGGGGGCAATTTTCTGGGGATTTTCTGGGAGGGGAGATAATCGATTTACAGGAGGTGTCAATCGATTATTGAGGATGGCAGGTTTTTTTGGGAAAGGCTGATAATCGATTATATGAGAGTGATAATCGACTATTGAAGGCTGCAGGTGTTTCACGAAGGATAGATAATCGATTTCCAGTGGGGATAATCGATTATTTGACAGCTCGAGATAGGAACAAGGTATTTCTTTGGGAAGGAAAAACAAACCAAATTGGTGTTAAGGGATATTACACACCCTTATCTTAACTTGGGGTTGAATCTAGCATTTAAATAAGATATTACACACTTAAATAACTAGAACCTAAAACTCACACTCAAGAGAACCACTCCTAAGATATAGGATTAGGAATTTGGAATGAAACACACAAGTGAATCACTTTGATTAAAATTGGAATACAATGTGTGTTTACAATGCTCAGGGATGAGCTTATATAGGCATAGAAAAGGGAGACTACCAAGTCTCTTATTCACACAAATTAAAGAAATTAATGGCCACTTGTTGATGTTCCTTTAGTGGGAAAAACACAGGGATTATTGTACTTGTAGGGCAGGATTTTGGCNAAGGAAAAATAAATGTAGTTTTGGGTTTATTATTTTGGATATTTTGGGGTTTGGATTGGATGAGAATGGCTGGGCCTTTTAAGTTGGAGTTGGGCTCAGGGAAATTATGGCTATGTGGCGGGTTTTAGGATTGATAAGTTCGGCCCAAAAGGAATCATAACACTTAGCCATTATTCCGTTAATTTGTTTAACGACTTTAGAGTCGTTGGTAGTCGCCCGGGGTATATCATTCAGTTTTGCATAAAAAATATGTAAACCGTTGGTTATTCGGTTCGGTTTTCTGCAGTTTTTATCTTGGTTTTTTCGATTTTTTTGGTTTATAAAAGTAAATATTTATAAGCATTAAAAATTGTATAAATACTAACTTGACGAAGCAATAACAATACGTAAGTTTGGGTTTGGTTTTTTTGCTTGATTTTTACACACAAAAAAATCCGAGCGGAAGGTCAGTGTTCTCATTGGTTCAATTTTATATACAAAATATGAGTCAAGTGCCTAACAAACATCTAGAAGATTCTAAATAATCTTAAAGATATCGTATGTAAAATCAATTGCAGAGAATTTGGATTTTTTTATATAATACTTTCATTTTCATTATAACATCAAAGTTTTTTTTATTTAAATATGTTAACTACTCATTTTGATTTTTAATGCTATATAATTCTAATTTAGGATTAGTTATTGGTGTTTATATTCTTAGGTTTTTTAAAGTTTATAATATGGTTGAAATCTTTAATTAATAGTTAAGAAAAAAACATTAATTGACTAGTAATTTATTTGCATTTTTGTTTATATGATTTTTATACATATCACATATACTCATATAAATAAAATGACGCATATAAATAAGTTCGATTTATTCAATTCAGTTCGGTTTTTCAAAGTAAAAACCAAAACAGAACCAAACAATAACGGTTTGGTTTGGTTTTTTTACATTCGGTTTCGGTTTTTTCGGTTCGGTTTTTTTCTCGCTCGTTTCGATCGATTTCGGTTCGGTTTTTGGTTTTCCCGACCCAGCCCTATTATGTGCATGATATCAAATGAATTGATTATGAATTGAGATTCAATTTATATGGATGTTCGGCGCATTAGCTATGCTTACTCAGCTTTACCACTGAGCATGTAGTGTGTTTTATTTGCTACACGCAGGTTAATAAAAAGAATGATTTGACATGATCCTGAAGGCAGACGGAGGCGAGATTGTCGGAAAGGATGTGATGGTTTTGAATTGAAGAACATAAATAAATTATGTTTGTGATTATGATTGTTAAGCTTCCGCAATATTGAAAACTCCGTACTGTTTATGTTATTAAAATTTATTATTGTGATAAATAAAAGTGTTTGAAAAGTTTTAAATTTTACAATTTCCAAGTTAATACTTTGGTCCGAAAGGGGCTGCAGACCTGGACGGATTAGGGTGTTACATTTTGGTATCAGAGCAAATGATTTTAAAACCGAACTTCGGATCAAAGTCTAATTTAAAAATATATATATTATATATTTTGGGTAAAAAAATGCCAGTCACATCCACGATTCTCGCATCCCTCTGCTCCAGGAAAGGTAATGAGAATTTATTTGATAAATATTGACTATATTAAATTCTCATTAGATAACAATTGATTAAAACTTAAATCGTCGAGCATGGAGTCTAGTAGAACTTTTGTACTCGGTGAAGAGACGAAAGAATGAACGAAAAATATATGACCTTTTAATACGTTATTAACGTACGCATCACATCGCGAATGATGAAACTTATCTGCATCGCAAAGTCGCATGGAAGTGAGATGACTCTGAAGAAATGATTTATGTTGAACATTATCTGTGAAGCTGATATCGAAGATCCTCGTGTGGATTCAACACGACCCGATCCTTGACTCAAAAAGCAAGCGTTTAGAATTAATAAACCTTATTGTTTCCCCAATCTCTCTGGATTGTTTTCAATCATCGCAAATGTTATATACCCTCGTGATATATGTTATCAACGCACCTACGCAAATAAGGAATCCTAATAAAGAAATTTCTACTATTTGTAGATTGAGTCAAGAAATTGCTCGTGGACAAGATAACCAAGTACAAAACAATGGACACACAACGATTCATATATCGAATTTCACTCTTATTGTCCGAAAAGAACCAGATAACCAAAACATCCACCAAGATATTGAAGATCACTCCAATGCTTATTCAAGTATCAAACCTGATATTAAGGGAAAGAAGCCTTTGACTAGAACTTATAGTGCCCCACCCTCGAAAAGAAGAAAACCTTTGTCAACTCAACACAAATTGAGAGTGTGGAAATATCCAAAGTGTAACACTTGTAGAAGACATCACCCAGGAGAATGTTGGATGACACAAGGATTATGTATAGGTTGTGGTAAATCTGGGCATTTCCGAAAGGAATGTCCTACAAACCCCTGGAAAACCAATGTCGATGGCCCTGTTCAAAGTCATTCTACCTCAGCCCGACTTGCACCATCAGGAAATAATCCACAAACAAAATCATGCACGTGCGTATGTAATGAAAGACCGCGTTGAAGAAAACTCTGGTGTCATCATTAATATATTTCCTTATTCAATAATTTATAAAATTATCCATGATCAGGGATTTTCCCTATCTAATATCTATGTAATTCAATGTTGAATAACTCTCCGTTGAGATTAAAAACTCAAGGATTCCTTAATAAAGAACCATTTGATCAAGTGTTTTCTCTTTGAATACATATTTTGTTCATATGCGAATACAGAAGGATCGACGAGACTCTATATCAACTATCGTGAATTAAACAAATCCTTTTCCTTTACTTCGCATCATGACTTATTTGATCAGCTTAGAGGATCCATTGTGTTCTCTAAGATTGACTTACGGTCAGGATACTAACAAATCTCTGTTAAGAAACTTGAACAAACTGACGATCAAGAATCGCTACTCCTTACTTTGAAATTGACTCATTTGTATGCGCTATTGACATGAAAGATCGCGACGTGGTGACGATACAAAACAAGACAGTGACACCAACAGTGAAAGACTGAAGAATGAAGAAAATGTAGCTTGCACTAGCCACACAGCCTAGGAGAATAGTTATGGATAATATCATTGCAAAACAAGATACAACTTGGATTATAAGAGAAAAGTTACAGATGTTGTAACGCCCTGCAACCCGGTCTAATAGAATTGATTAATTTAATTAATTAATTACTGTTCCGGACCAGAGTTGGGGAAAATGGAAAGTTCTTAGAAAAATTATTTGATCATATCATTAAATTTGTTTTGACTGTTTGATTCCAGAAACGCAAACGGATCTCAATTCGGACCCGTTCGGGGGAAAACGCATACCGTTCAGGTCAGATTTTTACATAACGGAGTAAATAAATCTTGTAACCCCCCCTAAACCCTTGGTTCACCCCCCCCCTCAACATCACCATTACTCTCATTCAATAGGTTCCATAATTCACCATTAAAACTCCATCATTTCCCCTCCTTATCACATTCCATTTCGTAACCCCCAAGTATTCACAATCCTCACTCTCTCTCCCCTTCCCCCTTGTTCGGTCAGGGCATCAAGCAAACCAGGGAGGATTCCGGCGAGTAGACGGGAGGTAGAAGAGGAGGAAAGGCACGCAGGAGGTTGTCCGTTCGTTCGTTCGTTGGTTCGTTGCTAACCGTTCGTTCACCACATCCCACAGTTTCGTCAACCCTTCGTTTAGAGGTGAGTAGTTGTCCCCTTTAATTCTAGAACATTTAGTTATAATCCATGTCGTTATATTCATAGGAATATCGTACGCAACCTACGTAGAATCTATGCATGTTCGTAGGTTAGCCATCAAAACGTTACTACGTAAAACTTGTATATATTGGCATAGAAATCACTAGGATTATATTCATCAATGTTGTATTATTGTTCTAAAAAGAATCTAAGGGTTAAATTAGCAAAACAGATCAAAACGAAGCAATGGACAGCGGACTGTCTTCGGAACGGTCGACCGCCGCTACGGACGGTGGACCGTCCCCACGGCCATTCCGACGGTCACCACCGTATTGGTCGACCGCCTGCCGCGACGGAAGACCATGGTGGACCGTCGGCATTCCAGACCTCCAAAACGTAGCCCACGGTCGAGCGCCGGTAGGGTATGGTCGACCGTTTCCCGGGCAGATTTCCAGGCAGTTTGTAGAACGAGCCCCGTTGACCACGTTTACCCAGAATCTAATCGTTTGCCGCATGAAATGTTAATATTCATTATTTATGTTATTTAATTGATATATTCTTGGCATTGACCAAAGGTAAATATATCAAGCATTCATCATGTTCATTTTAGACGCATGTCCTAGGTTTTTACATCATGTGCATACCGTTGTAGGGAGGTCAGGCTGTTGTGCGCCTACTACAGTGGGCCCGTCTTGGAACCTGTGGGATCCAACGAGTTTTCATCATGTGGGCCTGGTGTACGTACATAGTAGTCAGGTTACGGCTACTACCCGGTTTGCTAGTCCACTTGTTCCCGGCTCATTACCGTCTCGGTATGACAACCGGAGTGCAGGGGTGATCCTGTCAAGTGAGGCTAAGCCAGGGGTGTCCCTGATAATTTAAGTCATGCATCAAGTCATATCACCATCATGTATGTTTCCAATCACCTTGTCATTTGTAATAGTACCCTAACAGATGAAAACTAAACAGTTAGTAAACATGTCGTTTTCTGTACGTTAAGTACAGGTATTAATGTGTACATAGCCGTATGGGTTATCACTTAATGTTCTTTTGTTAGATTCACTCCTCAGCTTTTGCTGAGCGTGTAGTTGTTTTTGCTACACGCAGGTAGACATGACGGTGCAGGTGCCAACCCTGGAGAGTAGTGACGTTGGAGAGATGGGCGGTGCACGGACGAGTTCATATTTATTTTCATTTACTCAATTAATCATTTGGGCATGAACCCACCTTTGTCGTTTATTTAATTTGGACTGGACTTATTTACTTACTTCCGCATTTACCCTGCATTTATACTGCACACGAGTTTTGGGGTAACTCCCTAGCATTTATTCCACCAATTAAACCCAACCGTTTTTCACAGTAAACAGACATTAATGTTTTACATTACGGACGGTTCCCGGACCGCCCATGTAACCCTACCGGTCCGTTGGGTCGCGAGTGAACCGGGTCCACGGAAGGCGGGTGTTACAATTTGGTATCAGAGAGGTTCGGTTTTGTGAAAAAAATAATAATAAAAAAAACATATTTTGTCATCTTGCTCAAAAGGTATTTTCAAAAGTCCACAGCCGCATCTCCCATCACATCACTCCCAGGGAAAGGTACACCGTTATTTTATTCACATGTGTGTCATATCGTAATTAGTTCTGATTTAAGCTATTTCTATAGAGAATGAGTCAAGCAGCAGGCAACGACGGACAGGCTGTCCCAGAGGGGGAGCCTGAGCACGTGAGCGTGCACACTGAAGCATCAAGCTTGACACCTCAGCAGGCCTCCGAGCAGGCAGTCCCGGGCACAGGCCCTGTTCCGGAAGGCATCCCTATCATTCAGCCGCAGTTCGCGGCTAACTTCATGAACTTCCTCCAGCAGATGGCTGGAGCATACGTTCCACCGCCACCACCACCGCCGCCACCAGTGGCAGTGGTCACCATCGAGAAGCTCCGGAAGAATGGAGCTGAGGAATTTTTGGGCGATCAGATCGCCGACCCCATGATCGCTAAACGATGGTTTGAGCGAACCATCCGAGTGTTGGGGAACCTGAGGGTTCCACAGGAGCAGCGTGGCGACCTCGCAGTTGCCTTACTCCAGGATTCCGCCTACGACTGGGGGAAGCGCGTAGGAGTAGATGTTCCGGAGCCCGTGCAGTGGGCCACATTTGATCGACTCTTCCATGAAGAGTACATCCCCGAGCACTTCGTCGAGGCGAAGGGAGAAGAGTTCCTGAAGTTCACCCAGGGTGAACTCACTCTACCCGAGTATCGTCAGAAGTTTGACGAGCTCGCAGGGTTTGGGCAGGACCTCGTCCTGACAGTGGAGAAGCGGTGCAAACGCTTCGTGGAGGGCTTACGTCCCGACCTTTCAGCTCATCTAATCATAGCTCCTCGGGGTGACATCAACGCGTTGTACAAAAATGCGTTGGACTTGAATGCGGCCCTCATCAAGAAGGCTGAGTTTGAGCAGACGCAAGGGGCGTCAGCAGCACCATCTCGTCCTCCTCTACCCAAGAAGGCGGGGACCAATGGCAAGAGGTCCTTTGCAGCGCCTAGCAGCTCTCACCAGAGCAAAAAGGTGAAGTCAGCCCCAGCCCAGTCATCTGCGTCCGTTCAGAAGAAGGGAAAGAGCAGAGATGGGTTTCGCAACCCGATCTGCGACCATTGTGGGCGTAGGCACCCAGGAGAGTGCTGGTTCACTCAGGGCCTATGCCTTGGGTGTGGCCAGACCGGGCATTTCCGTAGAGATTGTCCGAAGAATCCGGGTGAGGCATTCTCATCTTCACCAGCCGCCTCAGCCCCAGCAGCGCAGCCCGGCCAGAGCCAGAAGTCGGCGGCAGCATCCAGTCAGCCCAAGCGGCAAGCGTCAGGTGCCCAGGCAGGAAAGGCCCCGGCCCGTATGTGCGCGATGCGAGGGCGTACCGAGCAGCCAGCCCATGACGTCATCATGGGTATGTTTACCTTATTCGATACATCTATTACAGCATTGATCGATCCGGGTTTGGTGAGAAATTTTTGGTTTAACTCAAAATTCCCGTAGTAGTAAAGGGAACAGACTAGACCTTTAAAAGATCAGTTCTATCCCGTGTCGTCTCAAGGATCGGCCCAAGGGAAAGTTAGCGAGACTAGCTAGACAAGATTTACTCGTTGAATCAAAAAGTTTTCAAAAGGTCGAATAAGGGATGGAGATTGAATTTTTACCTTTCAGGAATAAAAAGTAGGGATGCAATTATTGGTTAGGTGATGGCTTTTTTTTAAAGAAAAATCACCGGTTACTTTTACTTTAAATCTTTTTACTAGTAAGTAAACATCTTTTCAAATATTTACTTAACAATTAATCCAATGTCTAAAGATTAATTATCAGAATTACTGGAATTGACTTAACTAGATTCCAAATTTCTTAGGAAATATAATTTTCAAGAATAGATTTGCTCTCTCTCGATTAACAAATCTCTAGTATAAATTCTCAGTAATAAAAACTAGTAAATTATCTTGACAATAATAAAATTCAACTCAATGATTTTCTCAGAAAATTACCATCACCATTCCGATAATCACATCCCCAATCAATTTAGATACTCATAATAAAAACCTTCAACACACATGCATCATAAGAAGACATTTTTCAATTAAAAGTAAAGAGCGACAAACTTACTTCAACAAATCTGAAGAATTGGAGGTTCGGGCTACAACTTGCTCCGTAAAAACTCCGAGAAATAATACTAATCTAAAGTATGAAAGTAGCTTTGTAAATCTAGACTAAAAGTGGAAAATTTCGGACTTGAGGGAGGAGAAGGGCGCTGTGCCGTGGCTAAAATCGAAGAGGGGAGTGCTGTATTTATAGGACTGGACGCGAAGCGTCCAACCCCAGCCGTCCAGATCCAAAGCGTCCAAAGTTGGACGCCTCGCACGGCCCGTCCATTCGCTGCTTGCCACGCGTCTTTCGTGATGCCCAATCATCGCCAAGCGTCCAAGGGGAAGCGTCCAGCTTGCAAGCGTCCAAGGTTGGACGCCTTGGGCCTTTTCCTGTGGGCTTTGCCGCGGCTTGATCCAATTCAGGCCCAGTTTCAATTTTCACTTTGCTTTGCAATTTGTTTCAGCTCCCTCCGATATTCTCATGATAAAATTCTTAGTTAAAAACTTCTTTTTCTTCCAAATATGAGTAGAAAAATCAACAATCAAGACTGGACAAACTTTAAACCAGTTATTGTTCCTTAAAGAACAAATCAAAGATATTGTTCAGTTTAACATAAAATTATGTATTTCTTATCACTATTTTCGTGCAATACCGCTTAAAATATGTAGAATAAAATAAGAACAAAATGAACTTATCAAATTCCTCACACTTAAACGTTGCTTGCCCTCAAGCAACAACTTCTGACCTCTGAGGGTATGACATTCTATTATTATTGCTGAAAAGAGTTTTAATTGCATCATTATGAGGCCAATTCACCTAACATAATCATCAGACTTCGTTAAATAGCTATACTTTTTAGAGTTGCCTCTCATTTCTTCTGAAAATATGCCAAGTTTTCGCCAAACATGTATTTTTACTTGATTAAATCAAATAGAAGTCAACCATTTACTGAAATGAATGTATTTCTTAACAGAATTGTTAAGATCAAATAGACTCAACTACCTTTTCTAAAGCCCATTGTTCACGAATAATTGCCAATAATGTAAAGGTCTTAATAACTTCAATTTGAATTGTTTCTCGACGAGAAAACCTCCCCTTTCACAGAAACTGAGCTATTTCACCAAGATCGTGGATTTATTCTATGACAAATGCATACTTGCTCCCTCGCCTTATGCGATTAGCGGGAGAAGCAGAGCCCCTTTTCTGGAGATAGAATTTCCAATTCGTCACTTAAGCGCAATCTTAGCGAAAAATCATGATTAAAGGTTACAAAAATCAGAAGTTTAATGCAGACCTTTACACATTGTTAAAAATTCTAGTGAAATCAATGGCCCCTTTTTTTTAAAGTAATTAGAGTATCTGACTTAAAAAAAACTTTTAAGAGAATACTAGTTAATTTCAGCAATGGTAGTGATCTATTCGGAAAAAAATCACATAAAAATAGGAGTTTGCCAAAGCCTTGAAAATTCTCAGTTTATATGCTTGACACCCTACCAATCAACTATTCAATTTTGGACTGATGATTATGCTAAAACCAAAGTTGCCTACAAGTATACAAGTAAAACACGTTTCATTCAATCATTTCAACCAGGTAACTCCCCTCCTCACACTTGAACACAACCGCGTCCCCGCAGTTGGAAAAAAAAATGTTAGGAGTATAATACCGAGTTGAAATGATTGACTAATAACAAAAGAACTCACACATCAATAAATCAAAAGGAGTCGATTGAAATAGAAATGGAGCAAGTGCATAAGTAGATGTTACCGGCGGAAAAATAAGAAGTTCCGAAAAATCCAGTTGATCATCAATTCCTGCTCATAAACGAAGAGAAATAGTTTTCAAATGAAAATAATACGAAGATCACTGAGGTGGAGGAACTGAGGCGGATGGATCGTCGCCCTCAGGAGAACGAGGGGTGAGCCCAATGTGCACATCTGAGTAAAAGCTAGTAAAGGTCCTCCGAAGCTGAGCAAAGCTCTCAGCCTGGGATGCCTGCTGCTCTCCGATTTCAGACATCCTCTGCATGATGGTATTCTGCTGCTCCAGGATCCTCCTAGCCCATTCAGGGGTCGGATCCGCCTGTGTCGTAGCTGGAGTAGCTTGAGAAGTGGGACGGCGACGAGTGGCTCTCCTAGATGAGACCTGCGAAGATGCTCCTGAGGATGAGGGCGCAGATGAGGAAGCGGCGTTGCTCTCTGTAGAGCTATCTCCCAACCTCATACGGATGTGAGCATTACTCAGCATGCCTGCATCCAAATCTCGCATCATCATCAGGGCCCGCGGAATGGGTGCCGTCCCCTCGAGGGATCGGAAGAGTATGGTGACCACGAAACCACAGACAATGTGCATCCGATTCCCCATAGACTGGCTGTAGAGGAACCGGGCCACAAAGACAGCCACATTCACCTCCTGGCGTGTGTGCAAACTCCAGAAGACAATCAAGTCATCGGGGTATACCCGATCCGTGTTCAACGGCCTTCCAAAGAAGGACGTCGAAAGCACAAAAGATAGGATTCGCCAAGTCGGCTGAATCCAAAACCTGGCTCGACCCATGCCCTCAAAGCGGTCTGGATCGGAGGAATGCTCTTCCCAAAAGTCAGCAGGATCAACGTCTGCAGGGAGAAGGTATGGTGCGGCCTCGAATTCTGGCGCCGACGTTTCCTCCAATGTGTGTAGCCAGATCAGCGACTGTCAGCTGAAATCCCCGCCCTAGGAGAGTAAAGGTGAGGGTGGTGCGAGAGTCGATGGACTGGAAGTTCAGCGACCTCGACCCTGTAGATGGCTCCAACTCTAGAGAGCACAGAAACTCGATCGTCAGGGGCAGGCTGGATTCAGCCCGCATCGTGAGGAGGCGATGCCACCTCGTCCCTTGTAGCAGCTGCTCCATCTCCTCCGCGTACCCGTAGTCGGCGAGGGCTGTCGAGGACAGGTACACAGACTCCGTCAAAGAGCGGTGGCGGCCCCACATCTCAAAGCGCTAGATGGGTCCAGAACCCACTAGGTGAACATCGGCACGCGAGGCAGTCGGGTATGCTGGTCTATGAGGCATCTGCATATGAAACACACATATAAAATCTTGCCCCCACGCAGGTGCGACAAGTCTCCGTTCATTTATTCAAAAAAAAGGGAATAGCAGAAAATAATAATTAAATAAAGAAGAGAGAAATAACGGGTTGCCTCCCGTTTAGCGCTTCTTTAACGTCACTAGCTTGACGCGATTACTTCACTTGTGAAGTTTAACCTCCACTTTCCCTTTTTGAAACTGCTCACCGAAATACCTCTTAATCTGTTGACCATTGACCTTGAATGTTCCAGATTCCCCTCTCAACTCAACAGTCCCATAAGGGAAGACTCTGGTGATTGTGTAAGGCCCTGTCCATCAGGAGCGAAGTTTGCCTGGGAACAATCTCAAACGAGAATTATAAAGCAACACTTTTTCGCCTTCGCGAAAGGCCTTATTCTGCTTAATATGAGCGTCGTGATAAAACTTCATCCTCTCCTTGTATAGCTTAGCATTGTGGAATGCTAATGCTCGCCATTCGTCTAGCTCATCTAGCTGATAAAATCTTTCTCGCCCAGCTTCGGAAGAATCAAGGCAAACATTTCGCAGTGCCCATAATGCCTTATGCTCAATTTGAACCGGAAGGTGACAAGACTTTCCGTATACCAAGTGAAAGGGAGTTGTACCAATTGGTGCTTTATATGCCGTGCGAAATGCCCCAAGTTTTTCGCTCCAATCCTTCCTTGTTCTGGCAACAGTCTTTTCCAAGATTTGCTTTAAATCCCTGTTTGCATTCTCCACTTGCCCTTGAGTCTGAGGGTGATACGCCACTCCTCCTCTATGCTGAACTCCATAGCGTTCTAATGCCTTAGATAATGGATCATTTCGGAAATGGGTACCTTTGTCACTTATTATCAGTCTCGGAACTCCAAATCTTGCAAACAGTTTCTTCAAGAAGCGAACTACAGTGCGGCCATCGTCTCTTTTGCAAGCTTGGGCTTCAACCCATTTGGAGATGTAATCGATAGCAACGAGGATGTATTTATTACCATAAGAACTCGGGAATGGCCCCACAAAGTCGATCCCCCATACATCAAATACTTCACACGGAAGCATGTAATGCTGTGGCATTTCATCTCTCTTAGATATATTGCCCGTTCTTTGACAGCGGTCGCAGGAAGCGGCAAACTGGTTAGCGTCCCTAAAAAGCGTTGGCCAGAAGAATCCTGAGTCCAATACTTTCCTTGCTGTCCTAGCTCCTGAGAAGTGTCCGCCGACTGGGCCACTATGGCAGGCTGCCAAAATTTCCTTTCCTTCTGCTTCAGTTACGCATCGCCGAACGACTTGGTCCGCACAGATTCTGAAAAGGTAGGGATCGTCCCAAAAGTAGAAGTGGGCTTCTCGCTTAAGCTTCTTGCTTAGGTGCGGTGTCAGCAAGGTGGGCTCAATCTTTCCTGCCAAATAATTGACAATGTCCGCATACCAAGGCTCCTTTTCTTGTATAGCGTAGGTCCTCTCGAAGGGAAAGGACTCATTCACTATACAATTGCCAAATTGTCCGGCTACTTCCACATCTAGTCGAGACAGGTGATCTGCAGCTTGATTTGCTGATCCTTTTCTATCTTTGATCTGTAAATCAAATTCCTGCAACAACAAAACCCAACGTAATAACCGAGGCTTTGCATCATTCTTTTGCAACAGGTACCGCAACGCCGCATGATCGGTGTAAACGACAACTGGAGAAAGAATGATGTAAGGCCTAAATTTTTCCAAAGCGTACACAATTGCTAGGAATTCTTTCTCAGTAGTTGTGTAGTTGAGTTGTGCTCCCGATAGGATTTTACTAGCGTAGTAAATTGGGTGAAAGATCTTTTCCTTCCTTTGTCCAAGGATTGCTCCTACTACTAAGTCGCTAGCGTCACACATCAGTTCAAATGGTAGTGCCCAGTCTGGGGCAATAAGAACTGGGGCTGAGATCAATTTTTCTTTCAAGGTATTGAATGCTTGTAAACATTCATCCGTAAAAACAAACTCTATACCTTTTTCTAATAGGGCAGTTAGGGGTTTTGCTATTTTAGCAAAGTCTTTGATAAATCTTCTATAGAATCCCGCATGTCCTAGAAAACTTCGGATGGCCTTAACAGAATTCGGTGGTGGTAGTTTCTCTATAGTCTCGATCTTAGCACGATCCACCTCTACCCCACGACCTGATACCTTGTGACCTAAGACTATCCCTTCCTTGACTAAGAATTGGCACTTTTCCCAACTAAGAGCTAGGTGAGTTTCCTCGCATCTTATGAGAACCTTTTCCAGATTACCTAGGCATTCGTCAAATGACTTCCCTGTGATAGAGAAATCATCCATAAAGACTTCCATAAAATCCCCTATAAACTTTTCGAAAATAGCTATCATACACCTCATGAAGGTGGCAGGGGCATTACATGGTCCATGACATTCGACGAAATGCAAAGGTTCCGAAGGGGCAAGTGAAAGTGGTCTTCTCCTGGTCTTCGAGGTTTACATGGATTTGGAAATAACCACTCATCCCATCCAAGAAGCAATAGTATGCATGGCCAGCTAGTTTCTCAATGAGTTGGTCAATAAAAGGAAGGGGAAAGTGATCTTTGCGTGTGGCATCATTTAACTTCCTATAGTCTATGACCATTCGCCACCCAGTCACCGTTCTTCCTGGAACTAACTCTCCTTTCTCATTTTTGGTTACTATCATCCCTCCCTTTTTTGGAACAACATGGATTGGTGACACCCACTGGCTATCTGAAATGGGATAAATTATTCCAGCATCCAAGAGCCTAAGCACTTCTTTCTGTACTACTTCCATTAATTTTGGATTCAACCTGCGTTGAGCCTGCACAACTGGTTTAAATCCGTCCTCAATGGCTATTTTATGCATGCAATAAGCGGGGCTTATTCCTTGAATATCCTCTAGTTTCCAAGCAATTGCTTGCTTGTGCATACGGAGGACAGCTAGTAGTTTTTCCTTCTGATCAGGTGTTAGATCGGAGGCTATGACAACAGGGCACTGACCCTCACTATCGTGGAAAGCATACTCGAGGTGTGATGGTAGGGGTTTAAGCTCTAAGGACCTAGATTCATTTATGGGTTCGGATCGCGTTTTGATTTCACACACCTCCTCACACTTAGGTTCTTGGAAACCAATTTCTAAGCTTAGGAGATCTTCTACAGATCCCTTATCCTTTATAACTTTAACTGAGTTGCAGAACTCAGCTGGGTCTGGAGTTCGATTCATGACGCTCATCATCTTAAAAGTGACATCTTCATTGCCTACTCTCAGAGTTAATTCTCCATCGTGTACATTAATTAATGCCTTTGCGGTCGCGAGGAATGGTCGCCCTAGTAATAGCGGCTTTTCCTTATCTTCTTCCATATCTAATACCACAAAATGTGCAGGAAAGATGAACTTATTTACCTTCACAAGTATGTCTTCAATCACCCCCCTGGGGTAACGAATAGAGCTATCTGCTAATTGAAGACACATTTGAGTGGGCTTAAGTCCAGTCAATCCCAACGCTTTCATGATAGAAGAAGGCATTAAATTAATGCTAGCTCCTAGGTCAGCTAGAGCGTCTCCAAAGGTTCTATCGTTGATGGAGCAAGGGATGATGAAACATCCAGGATCCTTTCGTTTTCTAGGCATTTCTTCAAGTAACATAGCAGAGCATTCAGCATTTAAGCTGACAAATGGGAATTCCTCCCAATCCCTCTTCTTAGTTACGAGGTCCTTTAAGAACTTACCATATTTGGGCATCTCAGTTAATACATCTACTAAAGGCATTTTGACCTCAACTTGGCCAATAACGTCGAGAAACTTTTGGAAAGCCTTCTCGTCCTTGTTCTTTTTCACCCTAGTAGGGAAGGGAATAGTGTTCAGCTGAGGTTGCCTGGTTGGTCGGGGTTGGCCTGGGGAGGTTTCCTCCTTCCTCGTCTCTTGAGGTACGGAATCAGACTTCTTTTGAGGGGTTGTTCCTATAGAGGTTTCCGCAGGTTCTTCATCTACATTGGCTTCGACTTCTGGGCCTTGGAGCTCTTTACCACTTCTAAAAGTTATGGCTCGAAGTTGCTCCTTGGGTTTGGTTCGGTGGTAGCTGGGAGGTTCCCCTGTTCTCTAACTCCGAGTTGTTTGAACACTTGTTGGAGCTGGTTATCACGTGTCTTGTCACGTTCCTTCAAATCATCTGCCAGATTGTTCATCTTCTGCATGTATTCCATCATCATCTTCTCCATCCTTGCCAAGGAATCTTCTTGTGGAGGTTGGCGATTATGAGGTGGAACGTAGGGTGCGTTGGTATTTTGGTAATTGGTTTTATTGTTATTCCAGTTACCTTGTTTATAGTCATCCCTAGGACGATTGTTCCTTGGAAAATTGTTTCTCTCCCGCCAATGCTCCTGATTGTTCTGGGCCCAAGGCCCTTCCCCTTTATTCGCGTATTGTGCTAGATTAACGTCCTTAGCCTTGCTCGGGAGGGGTGGTTCAATCAAGGGACAAGCAGAAGATAGATGATTTTGAAAGCAGTGTTCACAAGACAAGACAAGGTCGGATTGGTGGTGACTACCAGAACCATAAAGCTCAGCTTGATTCACTGGTTCAGTATACAGATTGGGACGTGGGTGGGAAGCTCCTAGGTGCTCCTTGATAGTTTGTTTCACGATGCTCTCCATACTAGCCTTGAGTGCTGTGAATTGGTCTACTTCATACATGCCAGCTTTAGGAGGAGGAGCTCGGTCTTCGTACCAATACTTAGCATTTGACGTAAGCCTGTCTACCAACTCCTCATTCTCCTCGGGTGTCATCTCTAGAAAAGAACCAAGTTTAGAAGAGTGGTCCAATTCTTTCTTGGATGGAACTGTCAAGCCTTGGTAAAAGTAGAACATCAAACTATCGGAATCAATCAAAGCAGGTGGGCATTTAACCTTCAACTCCTTGAATCTTTCCCATGCTTCGCTCATTGATTCCATAGGCGCTTGTCGGAAGTTTTGGATGGAGTTCTTTATTTTTACCATGGCAGAGGGTGGAAAATATTCGTGCATGAATGCCTGGTGCAACGCCTCCCAGGTCTTGAAATGGCCATTAGGGAATGTGTTTAACCATCTAGCTGCCCGATCCCGGAGGGAAAAGGGAAAGAGCGACAGTTTAACACGATCCATAGATAGACCGTTGGACTGGAATGTTTGACAGGTCCTTGAAAACCATAGCATGTGTGCCCTTGGATCTTCAGCCTTTGAGCCTCCAAATTGGTTATTCGAGACCATTTGGATCATTGCTGGTTTGATTTCAAACGAGTGGGCTTGACTAGCAGGGAGGCCTATGGGATCTTCCTCTACGTACGCCGGGCTCATGGCTTGAAGGATCGTTCGTCTAGGATTAGCCGCCATTTCTTGCTCCTCTTCCTCTTCTGAGTGTTGGTTCTCTTCTTCGTGACTTGCTTCCTCTTCTTCTTCTCTTCTTTGCTCTTCGTCGTGGAACTCTAGTTGACGGTGGATTTTAACGGTGCGACGCCGGAGCAAAAGTTCGGGGTTTTTGGTTCCCGGAAGAATGTCTCACCGCGAGAACGAGTGTTCATACAATTTTGAAGGCTAGAAAAAGAATCCTAAACAACTAACTAATGATAACTAAACAGAGAGAAATGATATCCTTTTTTTTACTATATATTTATTTATTTTTTTTTTCTTTTTTTTTCGAAGATAAAAGTTGAACTAAGAAAAGCCTTTAATAAATGGAAATAAAAGGTCAACAAATTAAGCTTAAAAAATATAATTGAAAATTTTTATTTTATATATATATATATATATATATATATATATATATATATATATATATATATATATATATATATATATATATATATATATAATAATATGAAAATCGTTTCTATCAACTTTCTTTCAGGCTAACTAAAAAGTAATCTCATTAATAACTTTCTGCGCCGATCCCCGGCAACGGCGCCATTTGGTGAGAAATTTTTGGTTTAACTCAAAATTCCCGTAGTAGTAAAGGGAACAGACTAGACTTTTAAAAGATCAGTTCTATCCCGTGTCGTCTCAAGGATCGGCCCAAGGGAAAGTTAGCGAGACTAGCTAGACAAGATTTACTCGTTGAATCAAAAAGTTTTCAAAAGGTCGAATAAGGGATAAGGGATGGAGATTGAATTTTTACCTTTCAGGAATAAAAAGTAGGGATGCAATTATTGGTTAGGTGATGGCTTTTTTTTAGAGAAAAATCACCGGTTACTTTTACTTTAAATCTTTTTACTAGTAAGTAAACATCTTTTCAAATATTTACTTAACAATTAATCCAATGTCTAAAGATTAATTATCAGAATTACTGGACTTGACTTAACTAGATTCCAAATTTCTTAGGAAATATAATTTTCAAGAATAGATTTACTCTCTCTCGATTAACAAATCTCTAGTATAAATTCTCAGTAATAAAAACTAGTAAATTATCTTGACAATAATAAAATTCAACTCAATGATTTTCTCAGAAAATTACCATCACCATTCCGATAATCACATCCCCTATCAATTTAGCTACTCATAATAAAAACCTTCAACACACATGCATCATAAGAAGACATTTTTCAATTAAAAGTAAAGAGCGACAAACTTACTTCAACAAATCTGAAGAATTGGAGGTTCGGGCTACAACTTGCTCCGTAAAAACTCCGAGAAATAATACTAATCTAAAGTATGAAAGTAGCTTTGTAAATCTAGACTAAAAGTGGAAAATTTCGGACTTGAGGGAGGAGAAGGGCGCTGTGCCGTGGCTAAAATCGAAGAGGGGAGTGCTGTATTTATAGGACTGGACGCGAAGCGTCCAACCCCAGCCGTCCAGATCCAAAGCGTCCATAGTTGGACGCCTCGCACGGACCGTCCATTCGCTACTTGCCACGCGTCTTTCGTGATGCCCAATCATCGCCAAGCGTCCAAGGGGAAGCGTCCAGCTTGCAAGCGTCCAAGGTTGGACGCCTCGGGCCTTTTCCTGTGGGCTTTGCCGCGGCTTGATCCAATTCAGGCCCAGTTTCAATTTTCACTTTGCTTTGCAATTTGTTTCAGCTCCCTCCGATATTCTCATGATAAAATTCTTAGTTAAAAACTTCTTTTTCTTCCAAATATGAGTAGAAAAATCAACAATCAAGACTGGACAAACTTTAAACCAATTATTGTTCCTTAAAGAACAAATCAAAGATATTGTTCAGTTTAACATAAAATTATGTACTGCTTATCACTATTTTCGTGCAATACCGCTTAAAATATGTAGAATAAAATAAGAAAAAAATGAACTTATCAGGGTTCCACTTTATCATATGTGTGTATGCCTAAGCCTGTTATGCCTAACATTCCGAGGGAAGACTTGGATAATCCGGTAATCGTGTCTAACCCATTGGGACACATTCTGCGACTCACCCATGTGTATCACGACTGCCCATTGGTTGTCCAGGGAAAGACCTTCCCTGCAAGTCTCATTGAGCTTCCACATCGTGAGTTTGACGTTATTCTAGGCATGGATTGGCTAACTGCCAACCAAGCCGTTGTTGACTGTGGAGCGCATACTGTTCGGCTGAGAGCCCCAGACAGTAGCGACATTCTGATCCGGGGTGAGCTTCTTCCGAAAGCTCTAGTGATGCATGACGGTAAGTTCGGGTGTTAACACTCAACACTAGGCCGCTAATTGTTGTTGCTTTGAATGATTATTATGATGATTATGATTTGATGAACCCACTGATTAAAATGATTATTGATGATTAAACTATGAATTGAAATGAATACATTGATGATTATGAAATGATTTGGAATGTAAGGATATCTAGAAGAACTCTAAGATATACCTAGGTTGACATTGGTTTCTAAGACTATCTAGAAGACCTCTAAGATAGCTTAGAAATAGGCCTTGCGGGTATAATTATGAATATTCAGTGGCCTGGGTTAAAACGTACGTACAGGATCTACAAACCAAACTAGAGGAACTCGTTTGGGGATACCACCCAACCTGACAGTGATAAAGGGATAAGAGTTATACAAATAGGATGTGTCCTTTGATAAGTCCGTTTTGTTCTTATCATTTACATCATATTCTAAATGTTATTGCACGTAAATAGTATTTAATCATCTTATAAAATGTGATTTCAATGAATAAAACTCCCATTTTCGTTCTAAGAGTCATAAAATGGGATACCACATGAAATCATCATAAATCATCCATTTTATGTTCAAATACTTGAGAAAAATGGAATAAATCATCAAGGGATCAAGATTCGGGCTTGAACGAGCTTCCGGGAGGTCAAAAACAGTGTTCGGGGCCAAAGCGGAGCAAAATTGGGCTGAAATCACGAACCAGTCGCGAAGCCCAACAAAGGAAGGGCCTAAATCGTCCAACTTAGACGCTTGGCCAAGTTGGACGCTTGGGAGCTGGACGCTTTGGCTGGATTGCAGCCCAACAATGACACATGGCAAAACTCGGTTGGCCAGGCCAACTCAGGCATCCAGATATGGATGCTTGGACTTGGAGGCTTTGAATTGGACGCCTTGGCTCTGTTCCTATAAATACAGCTCGATCCCTCTCATTTTAATCATCCAACTTCATCCCAACTTCGTGATTTACTCTTCCAATCTCCATTATAGTTTGTAGTATAGTTGTAGTAGTTAGTTTTGAAGTATTTTCGGAGGTTTTGACTCCAGATCTGTTCTGTTCCGCTTTTATGGAGGTTGTAAGTTTTTCCAATTTAATATAATGTTGTTTTAATTATTTTGCATAGTATGAGTTAGGGTTCAAACCCCTGGGTCCAGACTAGTTTGGTTGTATACTTTTAATATTAAATTAATGTTGGAATGGTTAGTCAATTGCTCTTTCCTTATTTAGTTAATTAATATCGAAAGATTTAATTAGCTATTTATTGAGAAAATATTGTATGCCAAAGGGCTATGCTATTCAAGTGCAACGGACTAAGTACAAATCTAGAAATGGATGAGTAATAATAGAAATATTATTATTCCAATTGTTAATTAAATATGATGAAGTGGATCCAAATGATGTCCACACCCTAGGTCCAGATCTTGCTTATACTATGTAAATAAATTTATTTATTATTTTTACTCTGCTCCCTTTTTATTCGTTCCGAGAAGAGTTTCATAAATCAGCCCTAACCTTCACCTAATTAGAGAAATTAAACTGATTCCCTTCGTCCACTCCTCAAGAGATATGACACTCGGAGAGAAAACTAACCCTTTACTGGGAAGGTTTACTACCCAAAAAACTACAACTGTCAAATGGCGCCGTTGCCGGGGAGTGGCACGGCATTAGTTTAATTTCTTTTAATTAGCTGTGGTGAAGATTGGTTAGAACGATCTTCTCACTTCTTTCACCAACTGTTGTACCCGAGACCCGGGGTCTTATCGAGTAGCTATTTTGTGGCGGATTTGCGGAAGGAAATGGATGATAGAACTGAAGGATGAAATATGGAGTGTGGGAAAGAGTTCTTTTTGGTGTTTTTAATGAGAGAAAAGAATAAGTTTAAGAAGAAGAAATGGTGAGGAATGAAATGGGCAGAAATAAAGTGAAGGGATAAACCAAGTTGGTGTTAAGAGATATGACACACTCTTATCTTAACTTGGGGCTTTTATCTTCTTTTACACATTAATAATCACTACTAATGTATAAAATTAGACTCCTAACACGCACTCAAAAGTAGCCAACTTTAGACATATTTCATTAGGAAATTTGGTTAAAATAACATCACACTATTTTAAAGAATTACTCAAAGAGTAAAACAAAGAAGTTTTTATTCAATCCATGGCTGTCTTACAATGGCCATATGCCTGTGTATATATAGGCCACGATGGAGGGGAAATACAACAAAAAATAAAGAAAAATACAATAAAGGAAACTTCCTACTTCTTTCCTAAAAATCAAAGATTAATGTCCATCCATGTGAGCTGATTTTCCAAGATGCTTCTCCTGATTTTGGGCTGATCTTCCTTGAGTTTATTTAGGGGGAAATTTCGTGCATATAAGGAAGAAAACAAAGGGGAATCAAGCTTTAGACTTTTGTGAATAAAATGCCAAAACAGCACTATTCATTCAATGACTTTGTTTCTAATTTTTGTTCCTTTGTTTCAAAAGTGATTATGCTTTTGTTTTGTGGAAGAAAAGGCTTTATTCTTTGTTGAAAATCAGGACATAATATTAGCCTTATACCCCATCTTAGGATAAATAAACAGGAACAGATTCACTCAGGATTTAGGGTATGGAATAATCGATTAGCACATTTAGTAAATCGATTAATAGAGTTTAGCTCAAACTGGGAAAGTTCTGAGGAACCCAATAATCGATTGACAAGCATGATCAATCGACTAACAAGGCTTGCACAAAGCTGGGTATTTTCTGAGAATACAGATAATCGATTATCAGTTATGTTTAATCGATTATTCATGCTTTCAGGATCAAAATTAGGAAAGAAAGAGGAAAATATTTTGTGGTTTTGTTTGAAAAGGCAAAAACAAGAAACAAAGGTTTTTATTTTGATGGAAAAGATTTTATTTTTGATAAAAGAAAGGAGATAAAACTTTTTTGGATATTTAGGAGAGGGTGGTTTTGCTTGAGTCATCCGGGGTACATCACCAACCACCCGTAATAATTATTATGGATAACTCCAGTGGTTATTACGGCCCGCCTTCCTTCTACCAATCACCCAACTGCCCTCCGTTTCAAACCCATCCACCTTACCACCCACATCAGAACCCATATGATGATGACTACCGAGTCAATAATGGGTCTGACTACTATCCATACCATGAGGAACCACCATATGACACCCCGTCTAGGAACTTTGGATATTCTCCACACCTAGACACTGATGGGGATAACTATTATGAACCTCATGGAGAGAACGATGACTATGACCAATATGGGCCAATGTACGACAATCTGTTAGAATAAGTGACCAACGCTAGAGGGGGGTGAATAGCGTTTGATCGTAGAATTCGCAGGAATAAAAAAATTAAGAAAGTGAAAAGTAAAGAGCGTAAAAAGCGTAAAGGGAGCACACCAAGATTTATACTGGTTCACCACAACGTGTGGCTAATCCAGTCTCTCGAGAGACTCTCTCGAGCTACACTACTTCCGTTAAGCTTACGGGTGCTTAACAAACTGTTACAACCTGAGAACTCGAGTCCCACGAGCCTCAACAACACTTGCTCGGAGATACCGCACTCCAAGACTTTAACCCGAAGGAAAATACCTTTCCTTCGTACAACCAAGGGAACAAGCTTCCCTTAATGTGTATACAACACTAAACACTCAATCAAGAACAAGACTCTCTTTAAGAGTAGATGATGAGTAAACTAAGTACGCTCAAGAACAACTCAAACTTCACATAAATTGGCTCTAGAAAGCTATGGAAAATAATGTTGTTTGGATGCAATGATAATATGAATATTGTGAAGTGAATTTATGATAAAAGCAGACCCAAACACTCCTTTTTATAGTGCCAAAATAGGCTCCAACGGACCAATACAATAGAGTGATTGGCTTGATTTATGGGATTGAAAAGATTTGGGATCTGCAGGATATTGGCTTCCCATCGATGTTTGGAACTTACCCATCGCTGGTAAGCCAATTTTCCTTCAGTTTTGAAGCCAACGGTCACCTACCCATCGATGGGTAAATGCTTCCCATCGCTGGGTGGGAGGTTGACTTACAAATAAGGAAAGAATCAGCCTTAAATGACTCGCAACGGTCATTCCTAACCAGCCATGGGTATGCCCTCCCATCGCTGGGTTCCCATCGATGGGTAGAGGTTCCCATCGCTGGGTTAGGGCATTCTGCCTTGTGTTGATGTTGGACCAAGGCTTTAATAGCGATGGGTAGAACTTCCCATCGCTGTTTGGCATGGTTCTGGAAATCAGTTTCGCTGAGGGACTGCTTACCCATCGATGGGAAGATCTTCCCATCGCTGGGTGGCATGATTCTGGAATCCCGGGATCACTTACCCATGCATGGGTGAAATCTACCATCGCTGGGTAGATGGCTAGTCCAGAACCATGGCTTAGCCGACCGGCACCCGACCGAAAAATGCAAAGTTCTCCAAAGTAAAAAACTAAGTGTGTAAAACACTTATTTAATGTATTGTGATGTCAAAATAAGCTTTGTATGTTGAAAACCACGTCGTTAAGGTAAAAACCACGGTTGACCAAGTCCACACCGTACACGGGTGGTTTTTACCAAAAGACAAAACTGAAAGGTGATTTTCATGATGTTTTGATTGGAGAACCATTTAAATGCATTCAAAAACAATTCCCACACAAAAAGACTCGAAAACCGCTCCATTTAAGTAAAAACCACGCCTAGCCATGTTTATGCCGTTTCGCATGGTTTTTATCAAACGACAAAAAAGGAAAGGTGGTTTTTGAAGTGTTTTTGATGGAAAACTATTTAAATGTGTCTAGAAGTAAAAACCAATAATAAAATTTTGAAAACCGCTTGGTTGGTTCGGACACCAAAAACAACGCCGAAAACAGAATGCCGAACGCTGGTTTCTGAAACCTAAACGCCGGATGGCTTGGTTTTTGGTTTGGGCAAACACCAAGTGTTTTTAATGTGTTTAAGCATGTTTGAAAATAATTTTGATGATATGTAAAATGCAATAAAAAATGTTTTAGCCTAAAGAGCCAAAGTGCAAAGCTTGGGTCGGTCTTGATCACATTATGACCGACTCAACGACGCTAAAGACTACGGTATTTGTTCTTGATCTCTTTTAGCTCTTGTACTCTTGCTTTCTTCTTATATTTATTTCTCGCCTTGTATATTCAACAACTTGTCTCGTTCACGGCGGTTTGGCATTATCAAAACCTGTCATAAAAACAAACACGGCTCTAGTACGAAAACACGATAAACCCCGTGTTTCAACACAATCAACTTGATCCACTTGTCGAAGAAATCATAAGATTAGAACAGAAAATTTTCTATTTCGACGAAGTTCTATTTGCTGAAGGCTCCTGGTACGAACCACCTTACTGCCGTGACTACACCCTGTTTGCTGAAGAACAAATTGAAGCAAACAAGGTGGCAATTCGAGAAAGAGCAAAACTTCTTGAATCACTCTGGAAGGAAAAGGAGTTCGAAAGGAGATTATGCGAAGGATCAGAAATGATGCAGAAAATTTTGGACGACTATCAAAGAGAGAGACTAGAAGCTGAGGCTAAAGCTGATAAATTAGTCAATGATCTCTGCAAGACTGTTGAACTAAAACGCTCCCTCCAATCTCAAGATCAAATGAGGGAGATTAATGTTCAAAAAGAGGCTCTAGAACCTAAGACCAATCCTGAACCCATCAACCATCAGGTTCCGGTTCTAGAAGATTCACTCAGTTCTACACCATCAAAGAAACCCGAGAGCATAACAACTCTCGCTAGGGCTACTGTGGTGATGTTACCTGAATCTCTTCTTAGCCAAGTCCCAACCAGCATAGTCGTACATGAGTTGGAACCAACTGAGGGAGTTGATTCAGAACCACCTAAGCTCATTCACGAACAGAAGGAGGAGGGAGTTTTGCCTCTGGCAATAAACGACCATCTCCTTAATTGTGTTGAAGACACACCTCCAGAGGAACCTGTTCTGGAGGAAGTAGGGCCCATTACCTGCCCCCAAGATTCCATCGAGTCCGAGCAGGAATCTACAGACGAGGAAATACTTTGCATAGAAAAGCCAATTCCGTATATAGAAACCTTTGCAAATAATGATTCATCTGAAGTTTCAGACCATACGTTCTTTGATTCCTTACTTGATGGGTATGACTACGTTTGCCCGAAGGATAGTTGGAACCAAACCAGTTGGGACGAACTTCTACAGAGTGACATCGAGGACTCTTTCATGGGGGAAAGCACAGTCGTAATCATCAAACCACAAATGGATAGTCAGCCAATTGAAGATAAGGAAGAAATCAATCTCGCTATGAAGGCCAATGATGTGGATCTACTGAGGAGATTTCCGCCAGCACCGATCAATACAAGGTCTCTTCCATATAACCTGTTGCCACCAAGCCACAGGGATGAGTCAAGGATCCTGGACCTTGACCGAACAAAAATTCAAACAAGGTGGCATCAGAAGAGAGTCAGAAGGGCAAAACTTTATGACTCTGGGATCGGGAAGTCGTGGAAAAAGTGGGTGAGCGTCGAGCTACGGACGTTAAAGAAGCGCTAAACGGGAGGCAACCCATCATTCATAAAAATATTTAAATAAGTTTTTGAGGTTATACTTGCCACACCAGTTTAGGGGGCAAGAGTTATTTTGTTTGTTGTCTTTGTTTTTGCAGATGGGAGACCTGTAGGGATACCTTGCAGAGGAAGCGAAGAAGAGGTCCTGCACGTGCAGTAAACACAAAGGTTCTATAGCCTTTGATTATTCTTGATCCAGCATTCCTGGTTGAAATTAGCTACTGAGAGAATATTGACTTCCTGAGTAAAGTCTCTTTTTCTCTACTAGTTTGAACATGATTTGGATCCTTGATTGATTTTTATTTTGGAATTTCACATTATGACTCTTAAACCCATTTTGAGAAAATTTTATGCATTATTTCATATTTACATTTTATGGTTATCTATTATTTCAATCTTCATCGTTGAATCCCGTAAGTATTGAGATAACTTAGTAATTGCATGTGAGCATTTCAACCATTAACTCCAATTCCAAAATACTTTTAACCACGAGGGCGTGGTTTCGTTTAAGTGTGAGGAGGTAAGAGTTCGTGGTTGAAATGATCTTTTTAGGAATTGTTTTGTCTATATATTTGTAGGAAAAGATTTTTTATAGAATAGTCATCAATTTTAATTGTTTGATTAATTAATCTTTAGTTATCACCCGTAAAAATTGGAAATTTTTAACTTTTTGTCAAACTTTTGATTTTCCTCTAACCTTTTTGTGAATGTTTTCTAAAATGATTTGGGATAAATTCACAATTGACTAAGAGTTTTTAAGATCAATCAATTTTAAGTTGCTTTATTGAAAATCTTTTTGCAAATACGCATCTATCTTTCGGGCTATGAGTATTAGTTGTTTCTTAAAGAGAGTTATTTTCAAAGTATAAGGGGTGACGTTTCAAAGTATGCTTTGGTGAGACCGAGATTCTTGTTTTAGCCAAAAAGTAATTGGTTCTATGTCAATTGATGAGGCTTGGTGAGTATGCCAAAAAGCACGTGGTTCTATATTGCGTGATGAGGCCTTTCGAGTGATTGATTAAAGTCAAAAAGCATGCGGTTCTATGTCGTGTGATGAGACTTTCCAGAGTGACTATCCAAAAAGCTCGTGGTTCTATGTCACGGGATGAGGTTAGAAATTTTTCTTGTGTCAACATGACAAAGTTATACCAAAGAAAAGTAAACCCTTAAATTTTGAAAAATACTTTTGCAAGAACATGTTTTCCAATTTAGCCATTAAAAGTTTTTTGTTCTTAACCTACTCTTACAAATCTAGTTATCCCAAGGAAAGTTTGGAGAGTTTTGGCTGTTTAGGTTGGTGTAAAAATATTGGTTTGACAAAATCCTTTTACATTTCTAATAATATGGGTGAAAATCTAAATGTTCATTTCTTCTTAACAAAAAGTTGATGACTATCTTATTTCTTCTTTCCTTCATCATATGTAGCTTAAACATTTCCTCTGTGATTACTAATTTGCTTCCATACTTATAATTATTCAATTTGTTGCTTGAGGGCAAGCAACATTTAAGTGTGAGAAATTTGATAAGTCCGTTTCGTTCTTATCATTTACATCATATTCTAAACGTTATTGCACGTAAATAGTATTTAATCATCTTATAAAATGTGATTTCAATGAATAAAACTCTCATTTTCGTTCTAAGAGTAATAAAATGGGATACCACATGAAATCATCATAAATCATCCATTTTATGTTCAAATACTTGAGAAAAAGGGAATAAATCATAGGGGGATCAAGATTCGGGCTTAAACGAGCTTCCGGGAGGTCAAAAACAATGTTCGGGGCCAAAACGGAGCGAAATTGGGCCGAAATCACAAACCAGTCGCGAAGCCCAACAAAGGAAGGTCCTAAGTCGTCCAACTTGGACGCTTGGCCAAGTTGGACGCTTGGGAGTTGGACGCTTTGGCTGGATTGCAACCCAACAATGACACGTGGCAAAACCTGCAGGTTGGCCGGGATAGCTCAGGCGTCCAGATATGGACGCTTGGACTTGGAAGCTTTGACGTGGACGCCTTGGCTCTGTTCCTATAAATACAGCCTGATCCCTCTCATTTTAATCATCCAACTTCATCCCAACTTCGGGATTTACTCTTCCAATCTCCATTATAGTTTGTAGTATAGTTGTAGTAGTTAGTTTTGAAGTATTTTCGGAGGTTTTGACTCCAGATCTGTTCTGTTCCGCTTTTAAGGAGGTTGTAAGTTTTTCCAATTTAATATAATGTTGTTTTAATTATTTTGCATAGTATGAGTTAGGGTTCAGACCCCTGGGTCCGGACTAGTTTGGTTGTATACTTTTAATATTAAATTAATGTTGGAATGGTTAGTAAATTGCTCTTTCCTTATATAGTTAATTAATGTCGAAAGATTAAATTAGCTATTTATTGAGAAAATATTGTATGCCAAAGGGCTATGATATTCAAGTGCAGCGGACTAAGTACAAATCTAGAAATGGATGAGTAATAATAGAAATATTATTATTCCAATTTTTAATTAAATATGATGAAGTGGATCCAAATGATTTCCAGACCCTAGGTCCAGATCTTGCTTATACTATGTAAATAAATTTATTTATTATTTTTACTCTGCTCCCTTTTTATTCGTTCCGAGAAGACTTTCATAAATCAGCCCTAACCTTCACCTAATTAGAGAAATTAAACTGATTCCCTTCGTCCACTCCTCAAGAGATACGACACTCGGAGAGAAAACTAACCCTTTAATGAGAAGGTTTACTACCCGAAAAACTACAACTGTCATCGTTGAAGGAATTGTTCCAGGAGCTTTAATCTACAATTTGCGGGTGATAATGTGTTGCTAGATAACGCTTATCACTGTATTCAATACTATGGCCAATTTTATAGATGCCTAGAATAGGGTCACACACATAGAACATATGAAATTGTAGAATATTTAAGTGGAGTAAAGTTGCACTTTATTTATATATCGTGTGTATTATATTGTATGACAATATGATTAAATACACAAACATATATATAAATAAATATTTGGACATTTTAATTATGTGATAATTAAGTTTGTCAAATATATTTAATAATATATATTTTAGAAATATTCTAGAGAAATATTACTAGCATAATTTTCTCTAGAACACTCTTCATTGTTCGTGTGTCTCAACTGGAGGTCATACACTTTTGTGGCTAGCTCATGGATCAATCCATCAACCTATACATATCGTTGCTTGCTCGCCAAGAAAGGTATATTTCTCAACAATAACTTATAATAATCATAAGAGGTCCTAGGTGGATCTACGTTTGGATAATAAAATTTTTGTTTTCCGCTACCCTATCCAAGCGTAGAACCCAACAAAAATGTTGGTGCATCTCTGTGGTGTACAAAATGGGGTACAATTTCCTGGGGTACAAATAGCATTATCCTATTGTTAATATTACTGTTATTATTTTTTGTTGGAACACATGTTTATGCTTATGTCGTATTAAAGCCGTGTTTGTTTGTGATAGGTTTTGATAATGCTAAACCGCCACGAACATGAGAAGACTTTAAACACACAAGGTGAGGATCTTAATTGTCAAAAGGATCCAAGAATCAAGAGGAATGAGAACCAAGAACGAAGACTATGACTTAGAATAGTAGAGTTGGTCTCAATTGTGATCAAGACCGACCTCGACTTCATAACTTGGCTTTCTAGGCTAATTTCATTAAAAACATTTTCATGCATCACCAAAATCACTTTCATAAGTTTTTAATAAGCCAAACACATTTGGAGGTCGCTCAAACCGAAAACCAAGTCGTTCGGCATTCGGCTTTCAGAAAACACGTTCGGGTTCGTGAGACAGGCATTCGGCTACTAGTTATCGGTGTTGGTTTTTGGCGTTCGAATCAACCAAGTGGTTTTCAAGATTTTTTTATTGCATTCTTCCACTGGGCGCTTTTAAATAGTTCTCCAACAAAAACATGTTAAAAACCACCTTTCGGTTTTAGTCTTTTGGCGAAAACCACATAAAACGGCATGAACTTGGCTAGCTGTGGTTTTCACCTTAACGACATGGTTTTTAAGATTTAAAACCTGTTTTCTTACTAAAATACATCAAATAAGTGTTCCAACACTTGATTTTTATTTTGGAGAACTTTGGTTTTTGGCCCGACTTACGACGTTGACTGGCTAAGCCATGGTTCTGGCTAACCAGCCTAACAGTGATGTTGGCTACCCAACATTGATGTTGGCGCTGATAATAAAGACCATGGGTTGACATAATGAACTTCAACATCGATTTAGCATCTTGAACATCGATGTTACGCCAATAAGCAAAACTCCTAGAACCAGCTTGAACATCGATGTAGTGGTTTGTACAGCGATGTTTAGCCTTCAGGTTCAAAACCAACTTTGACAATATGAGGTTCAACATCGATGTTGACCTCTCCAACATCGATGTTGGGTGATGACCGTTTGAAAGCATTAAAATCCAAATATTTCCTTATTTGAAGTCAACCTCTAAAACAGCGATGTTCACCTTATGAACATTAATGTTAGGCCAAATCCTGCAGATTCCCATTTGTTTTAAACCCCACAAATCATGCCAATCACACCAATCAAAATAAGTGTGTTTGAGCCTATTTTTCCACTATAAATTGGGGTGTTTAGGTGCGCATTTCTAATCACAATCCTTCACATATATTTTCATTGCATTACATTTACATAATTTTCTATAGCTTTTGAGAGCCAAATTTGTGAAGTTCTTGTTATGATCTTGAGCGTATTATTTTACTCATCATCAACTCTTTTGAGACAGTGTTGTTCTTGAGTGTTTTAGTGTTTTACACATTTGAAGGAATGCTTATTTCCCTTAGTTGTACGAAGGAAGGGTACATTCCTTCGTGGTTGAAGTCTTGGAGTGCAGTATCTCCAAGCAAGTGTATTGAGGCTCGTGTGTCTCGAGTTCTCAGGTTGTAACGGTTTGTTAAACACCCGTAAGCTTAACGGAAGTAGTGTAGCTCGAGAGAGTCTCTCGGGAGACTCGACGTAGCCACACGTTGTGGTGAAACAGTGTAGATGTTGGTGTGCTCCCTTTACGCTTTTCACGCTCTTTACTTTTCATGTTATCATTTTTTATTCTTGAGAATTTTTGTTTAAACGCTATTCACCCCCCCCCCCCTCTAGCGTTAGGACCTTTTTCTAACAATTGGTATCGGAGGCTAACCCTCTTCCAAACTTAACCGTTTGAGAGGTAAAAGATAATGGCTTCTATTTCTACAAATTTGTACGCAGGTATAGGTGAAGGGCAATCAACCACACGACTACCTCTTTTCTATGGAACCAACTATACATATTGGAAGGAACGAATGAGAATCTATATTCGCTCCATGAACAAGAATATGAAATGGTTAGGATTAAGGAGCACGAGAAGATCGACGACATGTTCGATCGGTTTTCAAAGATAGTCAACGATCTTCATGCCTTGAAGAAAACCTACACCTAAGGGATCTTGTGAGAAAGATCCTATGAAGCCTGACATCCGAATGGCATTCCAAAGACGATGTCATCTATGAGTCAATTGGTGTGTCCAACATCACTATCGATGGTTTAAGAGGTAATCAAAAAACATATAAATCTACTATACTTAACCCATTCTTTGAATGATCAAAGGAAAGTTATAGCGCTCAAAATCGTCAAAGAACCGATGGTGGATGACTCAAGCGATGATAATGAGATCAAGCTTGTCATGAAGAAGTTCTGTAAACTTATAAGGAAGAAAGAAAATAATGAGGATGGCCTTGTATGCTACGGATGTGGTGAAGTCGGGCATGTCAAGAACAAATGCCCAAAAGGTGGAAGGAATGGACGTCGTTTCAACAAGAAAAGGGCCTACATCTCTTGGGGGTGGTGATTCGGGAGATGAATCCACCGACGAGGAAGAAGAGGAAGTCGCCAACTTATGTCTCATGGCGCACAAAGAAGAATCTCCCTCAATCCTCGACAAACAAGAGGTATGTACCACTTCTTCTAGCTCTTATTCTTTTGAAGAATTACAAGACACCTTTGAAGAACTTTATATACAAATACATTTGTTGTTATATGGTTATTTGTATATAGATTTATGCCAAATTGTGTTCTTGATCTATTAAAGTTCCGTAAGAGAACAACGAGGATTAGAAGACGTTATGAAATTGAGCGATTACACAAAGGCTAAATGTATGTTTGACTCAAACATAAACAATAAGGATTTTGGAAATGAAAGTAGTAGAACGGTCAGATTATGATGAATGTGGTTAGGCTTGAGGAAATATCGTTTGATATTGTAATAGCATCACTTGATACATATAGGTGCACAAATTTGTCATGTGAATGAACAAGTTGGGAAACACCTAGACTACATTTAGACGATTACAAGAACACGTAATCCATGCCCAAAGATATATGTTTTGCATGTATGAACGTATGTGTATTTGTTGTTCAATATGCTCAACTACTTGACATGACCTACGTTGAATTTGTATGATCGTAGTCCCTCGTTATAAGATTGTGGTATGAAACTCGTTAAAAGAAATCACCTAGAAATCCGCTGGAATGAATACATAGATATATTGGTAAATATTAAATGTTTATTATAATTTTCAAGAGGTTGAATGCAAATGGACGGACCAAAGCAGGAACCTGGGTACCATGATAATCGATTATCAGGTTCTGATAATTGACTATCTAGACTCGCTGTATATTCTGTTTGGCAGCAGAAGCCTTGGTAATCGATTATCACCAAGTGATAATCCACTATCAAGGGCTGCTGAACTTTGGGCTCAAAATCTTGATAATCGATTATCACCACTTGATAATCGATTATCAGGTATTGCTGAACTTCGAGCAAGGTCCAAAATCAAAGGGTTTTCAAGGTAAGAATCAAAATTGAAATGTTGGTATATGGATTAAAAACCAATACTTAGTTTTCAAAATAAGGCCTTCGAGGTCATAAGTCACGCAAAATATAGGAATCATTCATATCATGGCATTACATCACGCATGTTGTAGACGCATGATATAGGAATCATTCATATCATGACATATCCGCCTAAGAGGTCAAGCCTAGTGTGCCTCTTATAGTGGGCCCGTCTAGGAACCTTCGGGTCCAACGGGTTTCATTTGGAGGGCTTGTGTACGTAGATGGTAACTAAGTTTCAGTCACCACCCATTATTTCTAGTCTCGACAAGAGGCTAAAGTTTGCCCGAGTCGTCACCCTTGTGGGATGACATCGGAGCACAGGGGTCCCTGCATAGTCTAACTCATGCATCATATTTCATGTAATCATTATGAGGTTCCCGTACTCTAAGTACAGGTATGGAACATTCGGTCAATATGTGAACCATTTGGTCGTTATGAGATTCATGTCATTCATATTGTTCCACCATCATGAATAAACATCTTGATTATAGCTATGGGTGACTCGGGTTTGTGCAAAACATACTGTACTTCATATCCAACATCGTTGACAACAAGGCCAAGGTATTTATATTTGGATAACTTTCTAAAATGAATCTCCTTAATATGTATACGTCTACCTTATATCTTGTGCTACCTACTATGCAACCATTAAAATTATGTGGCCAATGTGATGCATGGTATTTAAGTATAAATATGTCATCGATCTCTCGCGTTATCGTACCACTCAACATCATGCTGAGCGTGTAGTCTTTTGTCTAAACGTAGGTAGAAGCACAGATTATATGAACCACCCGGAGGACGAAGAGACGATAGGATGGCGGGTTGACATGCATGATTTTCACAAGTATTGCATTTGAAGTTATGGGCTTGACCCACATCATTGTATTTGTATTATTTAAGTCTTCCGCTATCTCCGACATTTGTAAAGGATCGATTCGAATTTAATATGTTGTATTTTGAATTTTTACTTTATGAATTTTATTTAATGATTTGGAAAAGTTTTAAAAATATTGCTCCTGTTTCACCTTAATTTATATAATTTCGAGTTATACGAATTGGGGTGTTACATTTCATCTATGTTACTAGAGCGCCTACTCTATGGATTAAAGCAATGTTTAAATCACACGCGACGACTTAAACAATCTTTAGGGCCTATTGTTCTTGATATAATATAGATATGGAATCATAAGTTGGCCTCTAGGGCTCACTTATATTCAACACATAATTGATTGGTATCAAAAATAGGATTTAATAGTTCAAAAATTGGGTTTTCTGGAAAAATATCAGATCGGACAGCTCAGGTGATCGATCCACCACATGTGATCGATCACCACGTGATCGATCCACTTCCTATGATCGATCACCCGAAAGTGTTTCTAAGGTGTTTCCATTTACTGTTCATCGTCTCCTACCTTTGGCCACTTTTCTCCAACTTCATGTTAGGTCACCAAACTTTAAATAAATTATAAAGAAATGTTCTCCAAAGTTTGTAGATCATTTTGGTATCATTAGTTCGTAGTTTTAACAACATTTTCAAGGTTTATGATTCTTGGTTCTTCAAATATGTCAAACACAAAACTCAACCAAAAGACTGTTTATGAACGTAGTAACGATCTATACAAACATTCTAATCAGTAGATATATCTACGGGCTTACCTTAGAGCTTAACGATGATTCTGGTGATTAAACAGCAAAACTTTCGGCAAGGTTTGTGGCTAGCTCCAGTGACTTCGGCGACCACCAACTATTGTAGCATATTCTCCTCACTCTCACAAACACATTTGTACTAAACTTATAATTTTTGGTGAAGAATGAGAAGGGTTGAGCATTCTTTATATAGGAGAAGCGAAGAGGAAGAATAGACATGCTGAGTCAAACTTCTGATTCACTATCGGCGAATTTCCTTAGTGCACTGGGCTGCGATTGAGTTCCGATCATACACGTCGTTTCCTAATTTGGACTAATTTGGTTCCAGTCGGGGTACACTTTTTGGTCCAACTTTCTCCGAATTGAAATATGTTTGCACCATTGTAATCAGATAGTCAAATCTATCTAACGATATACTTTTTATATTTATTTGGATTACTTTTTCAGACATCATATTTTTGGGTGTTTGACTTTGATAGAGTCAAAATTGATTTAATTGACCTTTATTCAAAAATGTTCTCATATTTAATTCATATTATTTATTCTCATGATTTATTTCAATAAATCAGTTCAAAGTTCACATAATAAACAAATCATTTCTTAATTTGGGTCTGTACTCTGATTCCCAATCAAGATCACACAAACAGTCAATATATTGGATTTATCTCTATGAGATTTATCTAGATTGTGATATTGGATATCAAACCATATTTCATTTCGGCCCGAAGCCCAACAATAATTTATTTTAATCAAAACAAATTTAATTAATTTGAATAATAATTCAATAATAATTTTAGGATATATTTTGGGGCGTTACAATTTTTATATTTTTCCTTCATAAAAAATTTCTGTGATTCTTTAGTAAATAATTTGCTCGTGTAGCGCATGGGTACGAGTCTAGTTTATAACTAAAATTGAAAAAAAATGCATGGACTAATTAACGACAAAATTTAAGGAATGACGAACAATGCAATGCTAACGTGACTTGAAACACTATTCGTGAAATTTTCAAAGTTGAAGGACTAATTGTGCATAACGTAATAACTTAAAAGACCAACGATGGACTTTAGACAAATAATTACTTGGCACGAAAATTTAAAAAAAAAATAAAATTATATGAGTAAAAATGATGCAGAGGAGAGAAAAATTATAATGACTACAAATTTATTTTATAAAAGTAAAAAAACAAGACCTTTTTGGAACAAGCGAAACAAAAGCGAATCCTTTTTATGAGACAGAGTGAGTACTACGTATCTTTTCCCTTTTAAATAGAGCCTTTTTATGAGACGAAGGGAGTACTATGTTTTACAAGTACATTATATTGATATATGTTGTCCACAAGTGGACTCGATCAGTGGTGGATCATGAATTGAGCTAGATGGGGGCACCATTGTTAGGCGGTCCAGGGGCATCGCCCCCAATTTTTTTGATAGACTGTATGAAGTGGAAAAAAATTAAATTTTATTTCAAATATTTATTCTATGTAAAACATTTTTAAATAGGTAATGTGAAATTAGATTTTATAAATAAATAATTATATTTTACATAAAATAAAATATATTTTACATAAATTAAACAAAAAAATTAAATTTGACCTAAATGGATGGGCCACATTAATTTCTGATGGACGCACATATACATAAAATTTTAATTTTTTTTAACCTTATTACAAAAAATTAGTTGGGGACATTTACCCACTATGGACCCCTACTCCATAGTGGTGGATCCCACCACTGGGCTCGATGGATCGGACGACATTATCTTAGAATCCCAATTCTATAGCTTTGAATTCTTCCAAGTCTAATTAGATCCTTATGTGACCAGTAGCCAATCAGAGAGGAACTTTAGCAACGTCAAGCTCATGCTATGCTACAGATGGCCCATGTTCTGACTCAACTCATTCTCGGCTGAGTACCGAGGTACGGGTGCTCCTTCAGGGGCTCGGTACTAAGGCCGAGTGCCGAGCTAGTGACACCCAAATCCTTAGTTCAAATGATGGGTTTGCCCCTCCCAGCTGGACTCTGAGTTGTAATAGGGAAAGATACCCCCTTGTCCAGAGCAAACTTAGACGTGGTGACCGTGCCAAGTCAAAAACTTATTTTTAAATATTTAATTATGAATAAATTATTGAACTTACTTTGATGTGTGAATAAGAGTAGAATTTATTTAATTTTGAGAATAACTATTTTTCAAATAAACACTAAATTGGCCATATTAGATAACACCTCTATCCCCCGCCCCCTCTAGAGATGCGCATTAAGTCTAACATTTTTGTTACTTATTTGATAAAATAACATAAATTAAACCACCTTTGATTCATAGAGCTTTTAATGTAGTTTTAAAATATATAAATTTTAGTTTTTTAATATCATACCAATTTTGAAATAAATTATATTGAAAAAGGATTCAATCGAACATCATAAACAAACGAGCACTTAAATTAGGATGGAGAAAGTACTCTTTTTCCTCAATTGTAATTTTTCCCCCTAATTTTTTCACATTTCAGTTTTTAATGAGTCAATAAATACTCATATGAAGATGAACATTAAAGAGTGTGGTAAAGTTATCTAAATGACAAGTATGAGTTGGTGTAAATCTTAAAGAGTACATCTTTGTAAACAGTATGACCAAATCGATCATAGTTTTCAAAACATAATCATTGACTGAATCAATCAAAACATTAGCTCACTAATTCACCAGTCTGAATTGATCAAAACATTAGCTCACTAATTCACCAGTCGAACCAGTGGTCCAAGTGGTGGTGGAACCAATTGTTCAAATATATTTGAAAAGTTGTATATGTATGTTAAGCGAGTTTGTAATAAAAAACATTTTGGCGTAGTTCGTGAATTTCTTAACTTAATATCTAAGGAGTCTAGTATTCAAATCCTAATGTGGACACATATCCACACCAAGCCATCACAATATAAATAGAGGCTTGAATGCTTGACTTTCTAGAGACCGCACAAAATAATTTGCTTATTTCGGTGGAAATAAGCATGTGAATTGCTATGTTTTCAACTACTAAGAATACTAAGCAAATCAACACTACCAAACGGGACCTTAAACCACAAACAAACGGCGGAGAGTAGGCAAAGTAACCTGAAATATATCAGCAATTCTCTCATTAAGTGTTATGCGTATGATATTGCTGACATAAGATCTCAAGTGTTCAAAACAGAGTAACAAAAAACTAGTGAGAGAAGGCTTACAATGTTCAAGATTTGTTTCTTGCTGTGTTTCTTTGCCTCTTTTTTATTGGTTTCAGCATTCCCAAGGAAGCAGAGAGTCAGCCATGTCAGAACATATATTCTTTGCCTCTTTGACACAGGCACTCACTAGCATGAGCATAGACTTTCAAGAGCAAGGTTTTCATCTCCACCAACTAGTTCCAGGGTAGTCCTAACCTGGGCTTCAGGGAAACCCATTTCTACAATTCGTTGCACCTGTCATAAATCAACAAAAAGTTCAGTTTTAGATATTCTTTAAGCAACAACAAATAAATCCAGTTAATGCAAACATTGTTGGGCCTGGGGGTCAAGATGTATGGGTATGCTGCTGATTATCTTAGAAATAAAAAAGGGTGTATGTTACCAATGTAGATTCAGTGATCTTTCACAAAAGTATACAAAAGATCGTTTGAGGGGGTGAGTGTATCATAGTGATAACAATAAGGTGTAAAAAAAGGGTTAAATATGTTTTTAGTCCCTATAAAATAGACAACTTTTGTTTTTAGTCCTTATTAAAAAAATCGTTAAAGTCATCCCTACAAAAAATTTTATTTTGAAAATAGTCCTTAAACGTAAATAGCACTTCTAATTACATGAAATAACACATTTATTTCATACTCAACATCTTAGTCTTACATTTCCAATTATGTCCTATACAATTTTTTGAGCCCTAAATTGTATACTTATTCATATTTCTCCAATTCCCAAATTTCTTAAGAATATAATATAATAAAAATTTGGGAATTGGAAATGTAATTTTATAAAGAACACAATTTTGGACATGAGAATTGTGTCTGAAGTAATTAGAAATGCAAAACTAAGCTATTGAGTACGAAATAAAGGTGTTATGTCAACAAATTGAAAGTCTTAACTACGTATAAGGATCATTATCAAAATAAAATTTTTTGTGAGGATATTTAAACAAAAAATATTTTACATTGATCAAAAACAAAACTCACCTGTTTTAGAGGGACTAAAAACATTATTAACCTCGAAAAAAATACGAGGTAAGAAAAAGGGTGAATACCTACACATACCTTTTCATCAAGTCCGAAAGAGGGTTTGGCAAAAGCATCTGTCCAGTACCGAGCAGTGCCAACAAAGGTGTTGTAATCTCTAAGATACTGCACATAGGCAAACCTCAATGAAGTAGAAAAGAGAGCTTTTGCAGAAAATATATAAGTGAAACCAACCATGTGTGGTATACAGACCGGCTGATAAGAAGGAGAATAAAACAACTATATATCTCTCAATCAAACCTGTTGTGCTACCACTGCATCCTGTGGATCATCTGGTTGAGGATCAGAAAGTAGCGCTTGTATAGAGAGGAGTGCCGTCTTTAGAGTAAGTGCCGGGCTCCACTGGTCTTTCAAGACGTCGAGGCATATTGCACCACTTTGACTGCTTATGTTTGGGTGCCTTCAAAAGACCATCAATTGTACATAAACGTTGAGAGAATGAATTCTTTCCCAAAGGCCCATTTGTGGATAACATTTTCACTCTCACATGTTAAGATTAAGAAAAATGCTACACATGTACATAAGGATGGCAACGAGTTAGGTTTCAATATATACCCAAACCCGACCCGGCTATACATTTGGGTAAGATATTTGACCTTAACCCAACATAACAATCCAACCCAACCAAATACAGTTCTATATTTTCAACTTCCTATATGACTCCCTCTGTTTTTTAAAACCATTCCTATTTTGACTTTAGGCCAAAATAAGAAGTTTATATTTGCGGTTGACTTTCCAATTTTGCCCTTGACGGGTAAAAGTAAGATATGATGGGTAGATTATTAGTGAAAAAGTATGATGTGATAGGTAGGGTAAGAAAAAGTAGGGATAAAAGTGGTTTTTTAATAAATAATAGAAGTGTTTTGGTGAAAGAGAAAAAAAATGAAAGATGAAGTGTTTAAAAAAAAGGGAGTAAAAAAGTACACAAGTTTATTTATTAATCAATGCTAAACCTGACATGCACACATGAAATTATATTTTATCATTTTTAAAAAAATTAAAGTCAACATATTTGCAAACTTATCACATTGATGTATATTTGCAAACACTTATCATATACTACCTTCGTCGCAATGTGTTTGTCCAATTTTGACTCTTTGGAGTCAAATTGGACAACCTCTGATCATCAATCATTAAAAAATTATATTATACATAGTACAAAAATAACTTCATTAGGTTAATCTTGTAAAATAATCAATTTTTTGATCTTATTAATATACCATATACTCCTTCCGCACTGTTTTATGTCCACTTTTATTTTGGCTCTTGGACCAAGGAGAAAGGAAAAAATAAAAGAGAGTAAATAATATATCAAAGTTTTAGTGGACAAAAACACTAGAACAAAGATTGTAATTTTTATTTAATTATAGATTAAAGTTTGTCCAATGTGACTCCAATAGGTTAAAATGGACAAATGCATTGGGACAGAGGATGTGTGTGTATGTGTGTGCGCGCACACACACACTATGTCCCCAATTAAATTCACACTTCTTTTCATTCGTCCTAAAATAAAGTTCACACTTTACCTCTTTCCTTTTAAAGAAAAAAATGTGGCCCCTACCAAAGTTTATTTTTTATTTGTCAACACTTTTCTCAAACTCAGTGAAAGTCAACCACAAATTTATTTTGGGGGCAAAGGGAGTATGTACACGCATACAACCATAACTTTTATGCAAGTTTATACCAAAAAATTTAAATGAATACAAACACACACATCCCTTGGTCGAGTTTGGGTTGTTCGGGTCGATTATGTGCAATATCCAAACCCAACCTGATTTGGGTTTCAGTTTGTTGGTGTGCATTCTAGTATTTTACAGCTCGGCAGGTTGATTAATGTCTAGTTTTGGTTGGATTGTTATCCCTACAGGCCTACATGTACATTCACCAAACATACACCACGCCCAAAATTTTGAACTACACTGACAAGTTTTATGAGTGGGCCTGTAAAATAGAACAGATTTTGTCTTTGGGGTTCAAAATTTTGGGAGTGGTGTAAGGTTGGTATAAATTTGATGTACAGGTAGCATTTTTCTAAGATGAAAGTTAAAAAAAATGTGAATGACTAAACACTAACAGCAGAATATCATCTGTATTCAGTTAGTCTAATCCCTCTTGATACATTGAAGTTTGCTTTTGCTCTTTTCTCGTTCTTATTTGCTTCTGATACACACACACATACACATACACAAAATAGATAAATGTAGGATCTTACGATCTGTATTATATCTTATGACTTATGAACTTTAGGTCCTTACTATATCCTACATAGGATCTTGAGTTTGACTACCTTGCCTGCTGGAGAGTGACATTCAGGCTCTTGTGGATAGCATTTTTCAAGAGCTTTGTACTATCATTTCTGACTATTTAATTATTTAAAATAAAGTGTTTGGTTTATATTCTTCAAATACACTCATGACTCATAACCAAATTACTCTTGTGAGCTGAGATGTTATTTCCCATTCAAAACATATTTGATGAAGCATTGTCCATGAGAGTATGAGACATGAATGTAATTGAAGAAAATAAACCATCTTCGATCACATCGTGTCACATTAATAAGTTGCTCTTACTAGAAATATTGAATAGAGCTATCTATATGAATTGCAAGTACCACCAATGCCTAATGGCTAATACGGCTAAAAGGCTAATTCAAGCACCAAGGCATTGTCTTGGAAAGCCAGAGGATATGTCTTGAGGCAGTACCCCACAGACCTCAAAATGACGCCCCAAAAATATTTTTAAAAAAAACATAGAAATCAAAATATCAAAACAAGCTAATGATTATCATTAAAAATATTTAGCACTATATGATAAAAGAATAATTTTTGGATGTTAAAAGCATAAAATTCTCAAACACAACAAAATTCAAGAATCAAAGTGCAAACACAATATAAAACTAAATGTAATATGAAAAGTAAAGCCAAAGAAGTAAAAATTTGGTCTATCTTTTATGTAACATTGTAACTAGAAGTCTTCTAAAAATTTGGTATAGATATAAGCAAGCAAATTCTGTTTTCTATTTTCTAAACTTGGAAAACAAAAAATTGGAAACATGTTTCTTTCATTTTCTAGTTATCTAGAAAACTCTTCCCATTGGTAAATGGCCCGTGTTACTGCCCCATCAAAATGGAAAAGTTGACAGAGAGCATAATCCAGAGTTGAGTTTGCAACGTCGGGGCAAACAATTTTAAGTTGATGGAATAATGTGGAAAACACCAACAGTTGGAGGAGTAAAAGGGAATTAACCCAAACCAATAAGCTTATAGCAAGTAATTAAAAGGGGATTAAAAAAAGAGGAAAAGCACGAGGCCAATAGATGAAAAACAAAAAAGAGAAAAAATGATAAGTGAAAAAGGCTAGCTAAGAACAAAAGAAACTTCTTAGAGAAAGGCCAGACAAGTTGCAAGGAGGAGAAGGCCGTAGTAGGTTGCAAATTTAGTAATTGTGTTATGAATTGTCAAAAAGGAAAACAAGGTTTCCCGTGTCAACCAAATATTCTCTTACCGACTGTTAGGCCTTAGAAATGACAACTGTTGGGTTAAAAATTGACTTGAGCCTATTATGCAAAGCTCAAAACACATAACTGCCATCATTAACTACTACAAATGGTGCACATATCATGAAAGAAGCAGCCTGTGCACCCTGATTTCTCAGGGAAAACATTGATACGCCTTTTGTTCAGCCATAAGGACATACGCCATTGGGGTGTTAATGAATGTTTTACTTGTGTGACAAAATGCACACTTCGAGTACCCCTTTTCAACATTTAATAATTAATCATTCAACATTGAAAAACCTAAATCATGCCCAGTTTAATGTTTCATTAAATAACATGCAAATGAATATAAAATGAAGATGCCACATGACTCACATGAATTTTTCAGTGAAGGATAGCTAAAATTATCACATTTATCAGCATCTTGGAAGCATTAAGAGCCAAAATATTTAATAAAAAATTCAAAGTATTGACTTGGCTCAAGATTCAGAGGAGATATAACCATTGTCATCTGATATGTTGTGACATGCTTAAAAAATTTAACGGTACAAATTAGATGAAATAAAAGCAAAAGAATGGAAACATACCAAACTTTTGTGGAGAATTTCATTTTTGGAGGGTCAAATGGGTATCCATCTGCAAATTAAAATTAGAAGAAAATTAGACAGAGCTCCTTTTTGGGATTATATACCCAAACCAAACTGCTGCCATTACGGGAAGAAGATGATTAAAACCAGAGAGGAGTTTGCTGCGATGAACAAAGATGCAGAATATGAAATACAAAAAGGCTACAACTGGCTGTTAGGACCAAAGGAAACTCCCTACTGGTCCAAATGGGTTTGGAGTGGAGGTAGTATCCCTAAGCACAAATTTATCTTTTGGCTGATTATGAAGAACAGAACACAAACTAGGGATCGGATGAAGAGATTCATGGATATTGATACAAACTGTTTGCTTTGTGAGGAAGAGGAGGAGAACATGTATCACCTCTTCTGTCAATGTAGACTGACCAGAAACATAATGAAGGAGGTATTTGATTGGCTGAGATATGAGATCAGAGGAGATAACCTAAAGGAGATGGGGGAGAATATATGGAAGCGGAAACCAGCTCGTGCGAGGGGGATTGGTATGGCTGCTTGGATGAATTCTTGCTATAATATTTGGAAAGCAAGGAATGCTAAACTTCATCAAAAAGAGATCAAAGTGGAAGAAGTTATAGCTACAATTAAATACCATGTTCAATTTAATATAAGCAGTATGAGGGGCTAAACTTGTATTAGTGGATGGTTGTACAAATTTTCTCGAGATATGTGAATAAAGAAGAGTACTTTAATTCAAAAAATGCAATTTTCTTTCTTGGTATGTCGACTTAATCAGCCTCCTTTTTTAATGCCTTCTCTTTTATTTACTTATACTCTCTAGCCATCGACAAATCAAAGTTACACTAGACCTTACCCCCACCGAGTTTGGTGGTTTACCCACTGGGATTTTCAAAAAGTCCCAAGGAAAACAATATATGAGCATTGTTACCAGTAAGGACAGCAGATAACGTCGACGGATCCTATTCAATTACACTCCATCACCCGGTACTCACTACTCATTGTTTCTTATATGGTGTACTAATTTAGCTATTAAACGCAAAATGTTATGACAAAACCTCTAATCTAAGATTTTTAACCCATACGTTGTACGGATCCGCTTCGGTCACATCTCTACCAAGATCTCATCGACAAACGTGTTGGCAACCCTCTCGTTCAGCTCAGATCTTCAGGATGTTAAGATCTCTTTGATGTTGAAGATCTCCTTCTTCAGGTAGATCGCAACTTCTTCACGCATGAGGGACACAACGGGAACACTCTTAACTCACCCTATCTTCTGCAATTTCTCCCTCAGAGCCACTCCAAGAAATCCTAGGGATTTGCTGCAATCATATAGGCCCTCTTCAAACTCAATCCTAGTAGGAGTATGTAATTAAAAGTTGTCGTGAATACAACACTTCATCAATTTTGATCCACAAGTAGGATAAATGTTTCTAAATGCTTCTAAATACCAGCTAGATTAATTATTAATAAATCTTAGGTAGCCGCAAACTCAATATGTCACTCTTAAAATTGCGTATGGCAAACTACAAATCCCATCAGAGGGTGTAATAGCATCTTCTTTCACTTTTGAAAACTGCAGCAACACTACTAGTCTAAATAAAAAACAGCCTTTCCTAACAAATAGATTTCAAACTAGTAAAACTCCTAAAAAAAAGATCAGCCGAACATCTTTGGAACTAACAGGTGTCACAATACATGCGAAATAAGAATAAGAAAATTTAGAGATACCAGGTAGAATTATGTCGATCTTGAAAATTCCCCCTTCGTAGGGAGTACCGATGGGGCCAGGAATAGTGCCGTTCAGATGAGTCAACCCGTCCCCTCTCGGACTGATCTGTATGCCTGAATCCTGCACATCTCTGTTGCACTCTTTCAACTCCTTCTGCACCCGACCCAGGTCCACCATTTTATTCTATTTCTCGATTCTCCTACACCCGATTCTAACTAACGCAATAGAACAGCTGAACTACCTTCGTCTCACACCCTCCCCCTACAGTTGCTATAAGACCCTGCTATGTTCGCCTTACCACCGCAAATAGAACGGACCCAGATCCAAAGGAGCTACAAAAAAAACTTAACCTAAAAAAACCAAAATAGAATGAAAAAAAACTAAACTGAAATGTTATTGTTTGGCTCTGTTTTGATTTTTATTTTGAAAAACTGAACCGTATAAATTTAACTTTGTTAGATGTTTCACCCGAAAATTACTCGCGAGTTTTGTTGAAATAACTCTCAGGTCTCTCTATTTTGAAGAAGACAGCAGAGGTCCTTACATTTTGTTGTAATGATTGGAAGGGGACATTTCATCCAATATTTCATCTATAAACGTTAATAAATGCATTTTTTTTCTATTCTTTTCTAAATGTTTTAAGGTAATAAATCTTAGGTCGCTCCTTTTTTTATTTCTTTGTTTTTCTTTCATTTTGTTACTATTTTTTAAAGTGTTATTTTAGAATTTCTTCTCAAAACTCGCGTAATTTAAATAAATATATGTGATATGTAAAAAAATCATAGAAATATAAATGTAAATAAATTACTAGTCGATTAAAGTTATATTCTTAACTATTAATTATACATTTTAACCATATTCTAAATTCTAAAAAACATAAGAATATAAACATCAATAACTAATCATAATATAGAATTATATTAACATTAAAAATTGATACAAGTAATTTACATATTTACACTAAAAAAACTTTGATGTTATAATGAAAATGAAAGTATTATACCAAAAAATACAAATTCTCCGTAATTGATTTTACATACGATGTCTTTAGGAATATTTGAAATCTCCTGGATATTTGCTAGGCACTCGACACATATTTTTTATGTAAACCTGAACCTAAAGGAACACTAATAACCTTCCATTCGGTTTTTGTTTGCGTAAAAATTAAAAAAAACCAAACACAAACCTAGATATTGTTATTTTTTCATCGAGTGAGTGTTTTTACAATTGTTTAATGTTTATAAATTTCTACTTTTACAAACCGAAAAAACGAAATAAAAATTGCATAAAATCAAACCAAATAACCAATGGTTTACATACTAGTATATTTTATGCAAAACCGAACCAAACCGCCAATTTACCTTCCGTTTTGTCTTAAATTTTTGGTGAAAACCAAACCGCCAAAATTGAACTCACCCCTAGTGTCTTATTCGGATTTTGCTTTTTGTTGGAATTAGTATGACTCCTTTGGATATCGAAAAATATAATTTATTAGGGCTTAGCCTAGAAGATATGATGCACAATGCACAATTGAGGAAAGGGTACGAGCTGTCCCAACATGTGGTACCGAAGCCTAAGTTCTGAGTGCGCGTGGGCAATGGACTGCGCCGTGTGAAGCCTAAGTTCTACACTTTTCATATGTTCTATGTGTGTGACCCTATTCTAGGTATCTATAAAATTGGCCATAGTATCGATTAAATACTACAAGTGATAAGCGGTATCTAGCAACACATTATTACCCCCAAATTATAGATATAAAGCTCTTAGAACAATTCCTTCAATGACACATCTTATTTGTATAACCCGTATCCATTTATCACTAATATCTTGATTTAACATAAGGTATGGGGTGTGTCACCTTGTTAAAGTTAGATAATTGGTTTACTGATTCTTTGATTGACTTGTGGGCTTCAAATAACATATTTATTTGGGCATGACCATGCACTTTCCAAGTCACATCAATTAGTGGGCCCTTATATATTATACTTCATTAAAGAAGGGATAAATTCTATATACGTCATTCATATATTCACTTAAGTTTCATTGCATACCCAAAACATAATTGTACATCCACCAATGTTTCAGATGGCATAAACCATGTTTCAAAATATGCAACTCAACTTACCAAAGAACGTAATGACTTCAAGTCGAAGGATAGTTATACTAATGGTCGCATGAGAATAATATTAACACTTTAACTTAAATCCATATATTATTCTCATAGCGGGTCAATCCAGCAACATATCCAATATGTTTGCCTACGTATAGATTCAGATAACCCTTCATCTATAGCCTATGAGACGCAGCTATCTCATCTCATACGTATTAGTCTTGATATATTATGATGTACTTATTATCATAATATTCGACTAATGATATTTTAGACGTAGTCTCTATCTTTGTAACAGCCTCATAATTAGAATGTCGTAGTTCTCATCTATGTTACTAGAGCACCTACTCTATGGACTAAAGTTATGTTTAAATCACACGAGATGACTTAAACAATCTTTAGGGCCTATTCTTCTTTATATCATAGATATGGATTCATAAGTTGGCCTCTAGGGCTCACTTATATTCAACAATCTCCCACTAGCACTAAGGCCAATTATGGTTTCCATGTATGCCTCATGCACGAAGTGTGACCCTCGTGTATAGGTTTTCCCAAAGCCTAGGTCAATAGGTTAAGAGATTGTTTATCCTTTATAAACTCATCCAAAACAAGTATTAATGTGTCTTTATTCCATATGAGACATGCTTTTATTACTTGTTATTAAGAAGGGAATCGTTTTGGAACAGATTCTAAGTATTCTTTCCTTTCAGAGTCTATAATGGTTATTTTAGTACTCAAGGTGCAGTAGTATTTGGCAAGGTTACATAATCCTCTTTATTAGACTAACTATTTTAGTCACGTTATCTGGATAACATCTTGAGGGAACGTCAATTTCATAATCGTATCACTTTTGCCTTTCCTATTATGTAACTTTGGCATTAATATCACTTGATCTTTATCAAGTGCACTTCATTAATGTTAATGGTAAGTTTAAATTTCAAAAATTTAAAAAGAAGGGTACTTGGCTATAAACTTTATAAAGATATCTTTATATCTGTAAGTGGTTATCACTTTATTCATAATTTTGTGACAAACTTATTAACTAATTAATATTCGTACTTTATAGCCTTTGTATAGTTGTTGTATTGCGATATGTTTGTGAGGCAAAATATTTGATCATATGAAATACTTCTATAAATGGAGCAACAATTTATCCTTTATTGAAATAACCAATAGTACTTAAAACAATAAGTAAACACCAATTCGAAATTGAAAACTGATCAAATACTAAAACTTAAACTAATGCGCCACTGGGCTGCAACCCTTGCATCTTCAAGATCAACACTCCTACTTCTTTTCTTCAGTTTGTGCAACGGTTTGCAATGTTATAAGCATCAAATACTTTTGAAGAGATTGTAGATTAGTTTTAAGTCTTTACAAAAATTGTACCTGAAGTAGAAGCTTCACTCTTTTTCTTGGTTGCCAAATACTGCTTGCAATTCCTCTTCAAGTGGCCAACTTCACCACGGTGATGACAAAGGGAGTCTTTAGCCACTCCACCTTTAGGCTTGAGCTTAGAAGAATTGGACTTTGGCTCGGTGTTACCCTTTCCTTTAGGTTCATTCTTCTTTGCCTTCTTGAACTTCTTCTTGCCTTTTCCTCCTTGAACTAGAAGGACAGAATTCCCCATTCCTTTTGTCAAGCTCTCTTCAGCAGTTTGCAGCATCTTCAAAAGTTCTGGCAGTGGTTTATCGAGTTCATGCATCTCGTAATTAACCACAAACTGCTTGTACAACTCAAGCAACAATTGCAGAATCAGATCAGTTGCAAGTTCAGTCCTGAGTTCGAAACCTAACTTCTCAAGAGTTTGGACATAGCCAATCATTTTGAGAACATGCGGACCAATGGGGTTTCCAACTGACAACTTGCAACTAAAGAGAGCTTTGGAGATTTGGAATCAACTACCCTAAGTACGTAACATGTGGATTCGAGACTTCTTATAAAGAGATATCTTAGTGGGCCATGGTCCATATTACATTTAACTATAGTTGTGCTTTGCATCTTACCATATAGTTAAACTAATTAGGTAGAAACTTATTTCCAATTGTAATCCAATTACAATCCTTGGTTTGTTAGGCTCTTCTAAATAAAATTGTATATTGGGCCTAGATCCTTATTTCATCTAACTATAGTTGTGCTTTGCATCTTGCCCTACCTATTTCTAATTGTAACATTTTACAACTCTAGGCTAGATGAATTTGATTTAATTTTATTTATTAACTAACCATGTGCCTCTAAGTTATTCATCTTTTTACCTTAACTTAGTTAAGTCCAACCCAAGGCGTACTCAGTATCCATTGTTACGGATTTCGCATCATACCAATGTAAACCAGGCGTCCCACTTTGGCGTGTCCGTTGACTGGTCGAAACTGGTATCGACGGGTGAGTAAGCGTCGGAAGGCACAAACTTAATATTTCCGATGGATTTTAAACGTGATTTCACCTATGGCATGTGCCATGCACATACACTAGCGAATATCATACAAACATACATTCAAACATATGTATAATGAATAAAACGTGACATGGTTGTGGCCTCTTAAAGAACTAACGATAAAGCCTTCACTTGAGATCTCTATCTCCATCTTCACCTTTCTTTAAGCATGCTTCAGCCTTCAAGTTCAGCCCTTTCTTGCTAATGTGCTCTTCTTCTTGGCTCCTTCATCTTCCTTGCTTCTTCATGAATTTCTTTGTTTAATCGAGAGAAAAGAATCCTTGCTTTGTAAGCAAGGGATATGAGGTTTAAGAAGAGATTTACAACCAGAATTTGGAGATGAGGCACGACACCGGGCAAGCCGCGCTCGCCCCAGACCTAGTTTATTCTAAGAAAAAAAATCTACAAGCCTAAAAATTTTAAAATAAATTTATTTAACTTTATTTTAAACAAAAATTTTGGTATCCAAACGTAGATCCACCTAATATCTCTTATGATCATTATAAGTTATTGTTAAAGAATATACATTTCTTGCCGAGCAAGCAACAATATGTGTAGGTTGGAGGATTGGTCCAAGAGCTAGCCACAAAAGTATATGACCTTCAGTTAAGACACACGAACTATGAAGAGTGTTATAGGGAAAATTATGCTAGTAATTTTTCTCTAGAATATTTCTAAAATATAAACTATTTGGTGTAAAGTATCAAGAGAACAAAGCAAACTTTTGTCTCTTAAAAGAGGAGAGAGGGCCGAAATTTAGGTGTGTTAAAAAGGGTGAGATGATCTCCTATTTATAAGGAGCACAATCTTCATTCCCATTAGGTCCCCATTCCCATTCCTAATGGGAATGTTCCTTTTAATGTTTAGGAATGAAATCAAATCCCATTTCTATTCTACTTAGGTAATTTTGAAAATCCCACTTTAATTATCATATAATTAACACAAAGTAAATAATATAACATTTATAATATATATAACTGATATATATATATATATTTGTATGTGTGTGTGTATATATGTATATGTATATACACGCCGAAGTCATATATATATGTGTGTGTGTGTATATATATATATAATTATGTTATATTTTGTTTCTTAAATAATACTCCGTACTTGAAAAACTTAATTATCATATAATTAAAATGTCTAAATATCAAGTATACAAATATATTTTACGCCTTAATAATAATAATAAAATAATGAACAATTTATTATTTATATATATTCGAATTTATATATATATATACACACACACACACACACAGATATATATACACACACAGATATATATAAATATATATATATAACTATATATAAATATAAATAAATAAATAAATATATATATATATATATATTTATATATATATATATTTATATATATATTTATATATGGGATTGACTCCAGTCAGATGACACCTTACGGTGAGATGACATGCTACGGTCAGATGACGCAAAGCTCACCATTGGCCACTGCAAAGCTCACCAAAGACAACTACAAAACTCGCCAAACTGTAAGGCAAAGCTCACCATATTTTTTCAACACTTTGAATTTTTTTGAAAAAAAAATCAAAGGAATGGGTGCTGACTAGACTTTGACCATTGACCATTGACCATCATTGGCGACCCCCTGCCGCCGCCGGCCACCGCCGACCACCGCCGACCGCCGCCGACCTTTGCCGACCACCGCCGGCAGCCGCAGCCGCCGACCACCGTCGCGCCGCCGCCTCTGACCGGTGGTTGACCGGTGTTGCTATTTTATTTTTTAATAATTTTTTAATTTTCAAAATTAAAAAAAGGTGAATTTGGTGTTCAAAATGGTGAGCTTTGTTTTATTTCCAGGTGAGCTTTACATTGGCCATTGGTGAGCTTTGAAGTGTAATGTGGTGAGCTTTGCATCATCTCACCGAAGCATGTCATCTCACCGTAAGGTGTCATCTCACTTGAGTCAATCCCTATATATATATATATATATATATATGTATGTATGTATCTATATATTATTAATTATATTTGACAAACTTAATTATCACATAATTAAAATGTTCAAATATAAATATTTATTTATATATATATTTTGTCTATTTAATCATATTGTCACACAATATTATATACACAATATATATAAAATGCAACTTTACTCTACTTAAATATTCTACACTTTTCATATGTTCTATGTGTGTGACCCTATTCTAGGTATCTATAAAATTGGATATAGTATCGATTAAAAATCTACAAGTGATATGCGGTATGTAGCAACACATTATCACTCCAAATTATAGTTATAATTAATTACAAACCATATAATGTTCATACTCCCATGTGTATTATTGGTAAATACTTGGTCCGTCCCTGAGTGTTTGTCTACTTTTGACTTTTGGAACTGTTCATCTAAGCACTTTGACTCATCAAATTCTCTCAATGTGTAAGCCTAAAAATAGTCATGTGTGATCTTGTTTGATTCGTCTTAACATATAGATTATTAATATATAATTTTTATAATTTTTTAATATACAAATTACAAGATAAAATGGATTAAAGAAGTGCATTGGATGGTGTGCAAAAATGAAAGTGGACAAACACTTAGGG